AATTTTGCACACGCTAGGCCCTTGTTCTTCCAATTTTGCGCACGCTAGGCCCTTGTTCTTCCAATTTTGCACACACTAGGCAGTTGTTCTTCCAATTTTGCACACGCTAGGCCCTTGTTCTTCCAATTCTGCACACGCTAGGCACTTGTTCTTCCAATTTTGCACACACTAGGCCTTTGTTCTTGCAATTTGGCACACGCTAGGCCCTTGTTCTTCCAATTTTGCACACACTAGGCCCTTGTTCTTGCAATTTTGCACACGCTAGGCCCTTGTTCTTCCAATTTTGCACACGCTAGGCCCTTGTTCTTCCAATTTTGCACACGCTAGGCCCTTGTTCTTCCAATTTTGCACACACTAGGCCTTTGTTCTTGCAATTTGGCACACGATAGGACCTTGTTCTTCCAATTTTGCACACACTAGGCCCTTGTTCTTGCTATTTTGCACAAGCTAGGCCCTTGTTCTTCCAATTTTGCACACGCTAGGCCCTTGTCCTTCCAATTTTGCACATACTAGGCCCTTGTTCTTGCAATTTTGCACACGCTAGGCACTTTTTCTTCCAATTTTGCACACAATAGGCTCTTGTTCTTGCAATTTGGCACATGCTAGGCCCTTGTTCTTCTAATTTTGCACATACTAGGCCCTTGTTCTTGCAATTTTGCACACGCTTGGCCCTTGTTCTTCCAATTTTGCACATGCTAGGCCCTTGTTCTTCCAATTTTGCACACGCTATGCCCTTGTTCTTCCAATTTTGCACACGCTAGGCACTTGTTCTTCCAATTTTTCACACACTAGGCCTTTGTTCTTGCAATTTGGCACACGCTAGGCCCTTGTTCTTGCAATTTTGCACGCGCTAGGCCCTTGTTCTTCCAATTTTGCACATGCTAGGACATTGTTCTTGCTATTTTGCACACGCTAGGCCCTTGTTCCTCCAATTTTGCACACGCTAGGCCCTTGTTCTTCCAATTTTGCACACGGTAGGCCCTTGTTCTTCCAATTTTGCACACGCTAGGTCCTTGTTCTGGCAATTTTGCACACGCTAGGCCATTGTTCTTGGAACTTTGCAATCGCAAGGCCCTTGTTCTAGCAATTTTGCACACGCAAGGCCCTTGTTCTTGAAATTTTGCACTCTCAAGGCCCTAGTTCTTGCTATTTTACACACACTAGGCATTTGTTCTTGCAATTTTGAACACACTAGGCCCTTGTTCTTCCAATTTTTCACAAGCTAGGCCCTTGTTCTTGAAATTTTACACACGCTAGGCCCTTATTCTTCCAATTTTGCACACGCTAGGCCCTTGTTCTTCCAATTTTGCACATACTAGGCCCTTGTTCTTGCAATTTTGCACACGCTAGGCCCTTGTTCTTCCAATTTTGCACACAATAGGCTCTTGTTCTTCCAATTTTGCACACGCTAGGCCCTTGTTCTTGCAATTTGGCACACGCTAGGCCCTTGTTCTTGCAATTTTGCACGCGCTAGGCCCTTTTTCTTCCAATTTTGCACATGCTAGGCCCTTGTTCTTGCTATTTTGCACACGCTAGGACCTTGTTCTCCAATTTTGCACACGCTAGGCCCTTGTTCTTCCAATTTTGCACACAATAGGCTCTTGTTCTTCCAATTTTGCACACGCTAGGTCCTTTTTCTTGCTATTTTGCACACACTAGGCCCTTGTTCTTCCAATTTTGCACACGCTAGGCTCTTGTTCTTGAAATTTTGCACAGGCTAGGCCCTTGTTCTTGCTATTTTGCACATGCTAGGCCCTTCTTCTTGCAATTTTGCACACGCTATGCCCTTGTTCTTGCTATTTTGCACACGGTAGGCCCTTCTCCTTGAACGTTTGCACACGCTAGGCCCTTGTTCTTGAATTTTTGCACACGCTAGGACCTTGTTCTTGCAATTTTGCATACGCTAGGCCCTTGTTCTTGAAATTTTGCACACGCTAGGCCCCTGTTCTTGCTATTTTGCACACGCTAGGCACTTGTTCTTCCAATTTTGCACACGCTAGGCCCTTGTTCTTGAAATTTTGCACACGCTAGGCCCTTGTTCTTGAAAATTTGCACATGCTAGGCCCTTGTTCTTGCAATTTTGCACACGCTAGACCCTTCTTCTTGCAATTGTGCACACTCTAGGCCCTTGTTCTTGAAATTTTGCACACGCTAGGTCATTGTTCTTGCTATTTTGCACATGTAGGCCCTTGTTCTTGCAATTTTGCACACGCTAGGCCCTTGTTGTTGCTATTTTGCACACGCTAGGCCCTTGTTCTTCGAATTCTGCACACGCTAGGCCCTTGTTCTTCCAATTTTGCACATACTAGGCCCTTGTTCTTGCTATTTTGCACACGCTAGGCCCTTGTTCTACCAATTTTGCACACGCTAGGCTCTCGTACTTCCAATTTTGCACACGCTAGGCCCTTGTTCTTGAAATTTTGTACACGCTAGGCCCTTGTTCTTGCTATTTTGCACACGCTATGTCCTTGTTATTCCAATTTTGCACACGCTAGGCCCTTGTTCTTGCTTTTTTGCACACGCTATGTCCTTGTTATTCCAGTTTTGAACATGCTAGGCCCTTTTTCTTCCAATTTTGCACACGCTAGGTCCTTGCTCTTCAAATTTTGCACACGCTAGGCCCTTGTTCTTGCTATTTTGCACACGCTATGTCCTTGTTATTCCAATTTTGCACACGCTAGGCCCTTGTTCTTGTTTTTTTGCACACGCTAGGCCCTTGTTCTCTTTCAAATTTGCACACGCTAGGCCCTTGTTCTTCCAATTTTGCACACGCTAGGCCCTTGTTCTTGCTATTTTGCACACGCTAGGCCCTTGTTCTTCCAATTTTGCACACGCTAGGCCCTTGTTCTTGCTATTTTCCACACGCTAGGCCCTTGTTCTTCCAAATTTGCACACGCTAGGCCCTTGTTCTTCCAACTTTCCACACAGTAGGCCCTTGTTCTTCCAATTTTGCATACGCTAGGCCCTTGTTCTTCCAATTTTGCACACGGTAGGCCCTTGTTCTTCCAATTTTGCACACGCTAGGTCCTTGTTCTGGCAATTTTGCACACGCAAGGCCCTGGTTCTTGAAATTTTGCACTCTCAAGGCCCTAGTTCTTGCTATTTTGCACACGCTAGGCATTTGTTCTTGCAATTTTGAACACGCTAGGCCCTTGTTCTTCCAATTTTGCACAAGCTAGGCCCTTGTTCTTGAAATTTTGCACACGCTAGGCCTTTGTTCTTGCTATTTTGCACACGCTAGGCCCTTGTTCTTCCAATTTTGCACACGCTAGGCCCTTGTTCTTGCTATTTTGCACACGCTAGGCCGTTGTTCTTCCAATTTTGCACACGCTAGGCCCTTGTTCTTCCAATTTTGCACACAATAGGCTCTTGTTCTTCCAATTCTGCACACGCTAGGCCCTTGTTCTTGCAATTTGGCACACGCTAGGCCCTTGTTCTTGCAATATTGCACGCGCTAGGCATGTGTCCGGGGGCAGGCATGTGTCCGGACACAAGCATGCGACCGGGCGCAAGCATGCGTCCGGACACAAGCATGTGACCGGGTGCAAGCATGCGACCGGACACGAGCATGCGTCCGGAAACAAGCATGCGACCGGGCGCAAGCATGCGTCCGGACACAAGCATGCATCCAGACACAAGCATGCGTCCGGACAGAAGCATGCGTCCGGGCGCGAGCATGCGTCCGGGCGTAAGCATGCGTCAGGACACAAGCATGCGTCCGGACACAAGCATGCGTCAGGACACAAGCATGCGTCCGGACACAAGCATGCGACCACGCGCAAGCATGCGTCCGGACAAAAGCATCCGACCGCCCGCAAGCATGCGTCCAGACACAAGCATTCGTTCGGACACACGCATGCGTCCAGACACAAGCATGCGACCGGGCGCAAGCATGCGTCCGGACACAAGCATGCGTCCGGACACAAGCATGCGTCCGGACACAAGTATGTGTCCGGACCCAAGCATGCGAGCGATGCCTCCGGACACAAGCATGTGTCCGGACACACGCATGCGTCCAGACACAAGCATGCGACCGGGCGCAAGCATGCGTCTGGACACAAGCATGCATCCGGACACAAGCATGCGCCCAAAAAAAAGCATGCGTCTGAACACAAGCATGCGTCCGGGCGCAAGCATGATGTCAGTATATCTGCACTGTGGATGCCCGATTGATCCTGGAGAGGGTTACACGCGCGTTCGTCTGGGGGGTAATGGGCGCACTGACCCGCTACTGAAACAAGCCCTTTTATCCCAATGGTCTAGTGGTTGGGATTCTGACATGGTATCAGAGCGGTCACGGGTTAGATTCCCGGTGTATGCACATGTAGGCCGGTGCCGCTGTGCTTAGTCCTGGGCCTCCCAGTGTTGGGGGGTGTCAATAGATATGCACTGTGGATGCCCGATTGATCCTGGAGAGGGTTACAGGCGCGTTCGCCTGGGGGGTTATGGGCGCACTGACCCGCTACTGAAACAAGCCCTTTTATCCCAATGGTCTAGTGGTTGGGATTCTGACACATGAGTCCGGACACAAGCATGCGTTCGGACACAAGCATGCGTCCGGACAAAAGCATGCGACCGAGCACAAGCATGCGTCCGGGCACAAGCATGCGACGGGCGCAAGCATGCGTGCGGACACAAACATGCGTGCGGACACAAGCATGTGACCGGGAGCAAGCATGCGTCCGGACACAAGCATGCGTCCGGACCCAAGCATGCGACCGATGCCTCCGAACACAAGCATGCGACTGGGCGCAAGCATGGGTCCGGACACAAGCATGCGACTGGGCGCAAGCATGCATCCGAACACAAGCATGCGTCTGGACACAAGCATGCGACCGGACACAAGCATGCGACCGATGCGTCCGGACAAAAGCGTGCGTCCGGACACAAGCATGCGACCGGGCCCAAGCATGCGTCCGGACACAAGCATGCGACCGGGCGCAAGCATGTGTCCGGACACAAGCATGCGACCGGGCGCAAGCATGCGTCCAGGCGCAAGCATGCGTCCGGACCCCTCAACCACCCCCTCCCCTGCCGCTGCCGTGTCCACCGCCGCCCCCACAACCACCCCCGCCCCTGCCACCTCCCCCGCCGCTGCCGCCACCACCCCCACCGCTGCCACTAGCCCCTCCAGCCCCACCACCACCCCCGCCACCGCCTCCCCCGCCGTCACCTCCGCCTCCCTTGCCCCCTTTGCCCTTGCCGCTGCGGCGCCAGCTCGGAGCAGACGCAGTCCTGACCTTCTCAGCACCAAGGAGGTCGACAGCACAAGCAGAGGCTACAGAGGGAAGAAGGGCGGAAGGGGAACACCCCTCGATGAAAGGGGTGCGGGGGTCGCCACGAGAGGCACCTACAGCGACTATGCTAGCCTCAGCTGCAAGTAGTTCCTTCTCGAGGAGGGCAATGGTGAGCTCAGTGGGGCAGCGAGCTAGGAAGTGGTCCCTGACTGCACGCAGAGAGTCAGGGAGGCGGGTGACTAGGTGGTAGAGAGTGAGCCAGAGCGGGGGGTGGGTTCGTGGCAAGAAACTCATCAGGCATAGCGGCACGGAAGCGGGCCTCACTAGTACGGAGGTGCGTGATGAGGTCAGCGACTGTGTGGAAGGAGGCGAGGTCGGGGAACATGTAGGGGAGTGAGAGACGGCCTAGCGCGGCGAAGATAGGCGTGCGGTTTGGGGAGGTGAAGAGTTCCGGTTTGGAGCATGTGGAGCTGCCTTTGGAGCTGAGCAGCGGCAGCACAACCACGAGGCAATCCTCCCTTGTGAATGGGGGAGAGGAGGCCAATGATGCAGAGGAAGAAGAGGAGGAGGTGCAGCAAGTGAGCGAGCGTGCACCGTCACTCCCTTCCCGCACTACAAGTGCTCCACGGATTCGAGCCACACCGCAGCAACGCCAAGGTCTTCAAGTCCCTGCAGCTGAGGAGGAAGGAAGGGGGAAGAGGAGAGTTCAACCCCCTAATAGGCTGACCTATGATGCGCCAGGAAAGCAGGGCAAGACAGCCCTGGCCGGAGCAGCAATGATGGTCGGAGACGACGAGGAGAGTGACTACGAGGAGTGTGCCTTCGCGTTCTTCTCTCCGGTGGAGATGCCGGGAGAACCAGCAACTCTCAAGGAGGCTTTGGAGAGTAGTGATGCTGAGGAGTGGAAGAAGGCCATGGAGAGTGAGCTGAAGAGCATCAAGGAGAACGAAACGTTTGAATTGGTGGAGCTGCCGGAGGGGCGTACGGCGATAACGGCCAAGTGGCTCTTCAAAATCAAGTCGGATGCCGACGGCAAGATCGAGCGCTACAAGTCAAGGCTTGTAGCCAAGGGGTACCAGCAGAAGGAGAAGGTGGACTTCAAGGAGTTGTTTGCCCCTGTGGTGAAGGCGACGACGCTGCGAACCCTATTCGCGGGAGCCGCCATCAAAGGATGGGTAGTAAAACAAATGGACATCGTAACGGCATTCCTTAACGACATCCTTGAGGAGGAGATTTTTATGTTGAGATACTAAGCATAGGTGGGCTTAGGAGCCATAGTTTAGTTAGTTTCTTACAGATCGAGTGTAGGGTTGAGGAGAGTGTCGAGAAAGTTGGAAAGGAGAAAGAGGGCTTCACTATAGGTTGGCAACAACATATAGCAAAGGAACAAAGAAGGTGCACCACCAAACAAAGTTTATCATAACTACACTAACTACAGCTACAGGCAGTTACAGATATATTCTGACACTCCCCCATAACTGTCTGCAGCAGAAGCTAATGCAGAGACACCCCCTCAAGGGGTACACCAAGCGCAACAAAAGGAGAGGGCAAGTGAGGAGGAGGAACTATATGAGGAGAAGCTGCTGGCAGGTGAAGCTTCTGGCTCCAAGGCAGCTGCTTCCTGGAACCTTCCTCAGTCCTCCAACTCCCCTTTCCACACTCCTCGACAACCCTAGCACCTCTCCCCCAGCTCCCCCACACCCTCACACCCACCCCCCCCCCAGCGGCAGCTGCAGCAGTGGGAGAGAAAGGAGGAGGAGGGGAAGGGGATCACACACACCCATCACCCCCATACCCGCCACCCCCATAGCCTCCGTTCCACGGCTACACGCGCAGCAAGGAGACAAAGAAGGGGGAGGGGGAAGAGCAGGGGCAGCATAGGCACGGGCAGGGTAGCCGCGCGTGCAGGGCAACAGCGCGGAGCAGTAGCAGAGCGCACAAGGGCGCAGGCAGACCAGAGCGCACAAGGGCGCGGGTAGCAGCAGGGCACACGACGGGTAGCACAGGCACGGGCAGCAACGGGCGGCAACGGGCAGCACAAGCACGGGCAGCAACGGGCGGCAACGGGCAGCACAGGCACGGGCAGCAACTGGCAGCAACAGGCAGCACAGGCACGGGCAGCAACGGGCGGCAACGGGCAGCACAGGCACGGGCAGCAACGGGCGGCAACAGGTAGCACAGGCACGGGCGGCAACAGGCAGCACATGCACGGGCAGCAACAGGCAGCACAGGCACGGGCAGCAACGGGCGGCAACAGGCAGCACAGGCACGGGCAGCAACGGGCGGCAACGGGCAGCACAGACACAGGCAGCAACGGGCAGCACAGGCACGGGCAGCAACAGGCAGCAACGGGCAGCACAGGCACAGGCAGCAACGGGCGGCAACAGGCAGCACAGGCACGGGCAGCAACAGGCAGCACAGGCACGGGCAGCAACGGGCGGCAACAGGCAGCACAGGCACGGGCAGCAACGGGCGGCAACGGGCAGCACAGGCACGAGCAGCAACGGGCGGCAACGGGCAGCACAGGCACGGGTAGCAACGGGCGGCAACGGGCAGCACAGGCTCGGGCAGCAGCAGGCAGCAGCGGGCAGCACAGGCACATGCAGCAACGGGCGGCAACAGGCAGCACAGGCACGGGCAGCGACAGGCAGCACAGGCACGGGCAGCAACAGGCGGCAACAGGCAGCACAGGTACGGGCAGCAACAGGCAGCAACGGGCAGCACAGGCACGGGAAGCAACAGGCACCAACGGGCAGCATAGGCACGGGCAGCAACAGGCAACAACGGGCAGCACAGGCACGGGCAGCAACAGGCAGCAACGGGCAGTACAGGCAGGCAGCCGTACCGAGTCCAGGAGCGGCGGCGCATACAGCTGTAGGGTCGGCGCCGTGGGCTGCTGCTGGGGCGGCTCGCGGGGTCTAGGGGCGGCTGCTGAGGTCCAGGGGCGGCTGCACGAGGGGCGGCTGCTCCAGGGGCGGCGCTGAGGGCTGCTGCTGGGGCGGCTTGCGGGGTCCAGGGGCGGCTGCTGAGGTCCAGGGGCGGCTGCTCCAGGGGCGGCGTTGGTGCAAGGTAGGCCCGCGCGCGGCTGCAACGCTGGCGCAAGCGCAGGTGAGGCAGAGGCGGTGGCCAGGGGTGAGGGCGCCGCGACGAGTAGGAACGGCGCCCAAGGGGTGCCGCTACGAGTAGGGGCGACGCCCCAGGGGCGCCGTGACGAGCAGGAGCGGCGTCCAGGGGGCGCCACGACGAGCAGTGGCGACGCCCCGTGGATCCCGCAGTGCCGTCGCGACGAGCAAGGCGGCGCCGTGCGGGTCCTGCAAGGGTGTCGCGACGAGCAGGAGCGGCGGCGCCCGGGTCCTGCAGGTGCGTCGTGACGAGCAGGAGCGGCGCCTCGCAGGGCGCCGCGAAGTGGAGGGTACGGGCGGGCAAAACTGGCCCGCCCGTGGACGTGAGGCAGGCGCGCAGGCGGCGTGAGGGCAGGCCACCCGCGGGGCAGGAAGACGCCGCGCGCCCAGAGCGCAGCAGCACATGCCTGTGCTGTGGGAGAGAACCCTAAAATCGATCTCTAAGAACCTAACTACAGCGACTATGCTCTTTTCTGCTGCTAGGAGGGCCTTCTCGAGGAGGTCAACGGTGAGAGTGGTGGGGCACACTGAGAGGAAGTGGTCCCTGACTACGCGAAGAGAGTCAGGGAGCCGGGCGACTATGTAGTAGAGGGTGATGTACATGGGGGGGGGGGGTTCTTGGCGCAGAACTCAGCAAGAAGCGCATCGCGGTAGCGAATGTCACTAGTGCGGAGGTGCGTAATGAGGTCAGTGACTGTGGGAAAGGCAGCAAGGTCAGGGAAGAGGTACGGTAGCATGAGGCGGCTCACTGCAGCAGTGGCAGGGGAGGAGTAGCGTGCAACTACAGCGTCGTACAAGGCTAAAGTGCGCACGCTCAGAGGTAGGCAGGTGGCGACGCACAGCAAGGCGTGCAGCAGCATCACGTGTGGCCCACTGTGGGCGAACAGTGGCGTCAGCATCAGCAGCAGGGGCATGAGAGGCACCAGAAGTGAGGTCAAAGAGGGAGAGACCGTCTGCCCTATCGCACTGTAGGAAAAGCTGCAGGTCATCTATCCAGACGTCAAAGTCAATGGCCCGACCCTCAGCGTCAAAAGCGAGGACACTAGGGGTAGCCATGACAACACTAGACTATCAGCGCGAACAGTAGGGTAAAGGCAGTGCAGTGACAGAGGCGCTGCTCTTACCGGACAGGGCGGCTCGAGCGGCTCGGCGGTGCGGGCGGCACGGCGGCTCGGCGACTCGGCGGCACTAGCGGCTCGGGCGGCTCGGCGGTACAGCGGCTCGGCGACTCGGCGGCACTGGCGGCTCGGGCGGCTCGGCGGTACGGCGGCTCGGCAGCTCGCGACCCGGCGGCTCGGGCGGCTCAGGTAGCACGGCGGCTCGGGTGGCTCGGGCGGCTCGGCAGCAGCTCGGCGGCGCCGGGGGCTCGGTGGTGACGGCGGGGCGGCGTGGGGACGGCGGTGGGGCCGGGTGGAGCGGCAACGTGGCCACGTGGAGCGGCGGGGCCGGGTGGAGCGGCGGCGGGGCCGGGTGGAGCTGCAACGGGGCCAGCAGAGGCGGCGTCGGGGCCGGGAAGGGCAGCGCCGGGGCCGCAGGGTAGGCGACGGGGCCAGCAGAGGCGGCGCCGGGGCCGGGAAGGGCGGCGCCGGGGCCGCAGGGGTAGGCGACGGGGCCAGCAGAGGCGGCGCCGGGGCCGGGAAGGGCGGCGCCGGGGCCGCAGGGGTAGGCGACGGGGCCAGCAGAGGTGGCGCCGGGGCCGGGAAGGGCGGCGCCGGGGCCGCAGGGGTAGGCGACGGGGCCGCTAGGGCGGCTAGGAGGGGGTCGCGAGGGCGGCTTGAAGAGGCCGCGAGGGCGGCACGAAAGGGCCGCGAGGGCGGCGCGAAGGGGCCGCGAGGGCGGCGCGACGCGACGGAGCCGCGAGGGCGGCGGATCGGGGCCGCGAGGGCGGCGCGACGCGGCCGATATGGCGGCGCGACGTGACGGGGCCGCGAGGGCGACGCGATGGGGCCGCAAGCGCGACGCGACGGGGCCGCTAAGGCGGCGCGACAAGGTCGAAAGGGGGGAGCGCGACTCGGGCAGAGTAGAGCGCGCTCCGGGCAGGAAAAAAAAGTGGTGGGCTCTAGGAACAGTTCCCACAGGGGAACCTGCTCAATACCATGAGAAATGAACGAGAATGAAATGACTAGGTGAAAGTTGGGTACAAGTACAAACCCTAGAAATCTGTACCCCATATGGGCTGCCCCACTAGAGCCTACAGTAGCTATGTCATATAAATCTGACACAAGGGCCTAGCGCGTGCGAAATAGCAAGAACAAGGGCCTAGCGCGTGCAAAATTGCAAGAACAAAGACCTAGCGTGTGCAAAATTGCAAGAACAAGGGCCTAGCTCGTGCAAAATTGCAAGAACAAGGGCCTAGCGTGTGCAATATTGCAAGAACAAGGGCCTAGCGTGTGCAATATTGCAAGAACAAAGGCCTAGCATGTGCCAAATCGCAAGAACAAGGGCCTAGCGTGTGAAAAATTGCAAAAACAATGGCCTAGCGTGTGCAAAATTGCAAGAACAAGGGCCTAGCGTGTGCAAAATAGCAAGAACAAGGGCCTAGCGTGTGCAAAATTGCAATGACAAGGGCCTAGCGTGTGCAAAATTGCAATGACAAGGGCCTAGCGTGTGCGAAATTTCAAGAACAAGGGCCTAGCGTGTGCAAATTGCAAAAGCAAGGGCCTAGCATGTGCAAAATTGCAAGAACAAGGGCTTAGCGTGTGCAAAATAGCAAGAACAAGGGCCTAGAGTGTGCAAAATTGCAAGAACAACAACCAAGAAACTGAACGAAAAACTGAGAGAAACGGGGAATAAATGAGAGATTCAAAGGGACCCCTTCTGGTTAGCGCCTCGGGGTCCTCGTCGGGGAGAGACGGGTACCCCCTGTCTGAACCCGAAGAGGAGGGTATCGCGGCACGAAGATGCTGCGCTGGCAGGGCATTACAGCCCCTTCTCGATGGTTCGGGTGAAATGCAGCTGCCTGCCAACGCATGAAAGTTTGATTGGGCCGCAAGTCAACTTTCACGTCAGCGCTGGCAGGTGCGCTGCTCTTAGACGGGATTTGTGCGGTCGGGAATCGAAGCGCAGCAGTTTTCGGCGGGTTTACATGCATTATCCCACGCGCACGTTACTCAATTGTGTTCGCCTTATTGTGGGCTTCGATTTGGTACCGTACCGTCACCCCCCGGATATACCCCCATGGGGGACAATAATAAAACAGGTTTTTTCAAGGGGGTGGGCTTATAATCGAGTAAATTTATAAGCGCCGGCGTTTATAAAATGACATTCATATTTTTTATATTTTTTAACACCAAACTGTAGGTCTCGTGCTTGCCCTTTCAATCGAGTCGAATTTACATGGGGTCGTCTGTGAAATTCTCGCGCGCGCTGGGAGACACACCCAATCTGACTCACATCCAGCTCCTGACAGCTCCTGCTGACTGGACCCGCATCCAGTGCAGGGTCCGAATGTGAAGGGAACCGAATCTGCAACATATCTGCCTGCTAAAGTAAAAATCATTACAACGTTTTGTACACATTTCAAATTTTAAAGTTTACGTGCGCTTATAATAAAACTAGTTTTTTCAGGGGGTGCGCTTATAATCGAGGAGGGGATATAAGCGCCATATGCCAATTAGAAGCGCCAGGCGCTTATCCTAGGGTGGCGCTTATATCCGGGGGGTGACGGTATGATCGGAAGAACTAGTACCGTAGTTCACCCAGGCCCAACTTGAACCCCAAGCTGGGCCCAAAATCGCAAGGACGTGCGTGGGCGATCGCGGTGCTAGAGTTGGGCACCTTCCCAAACAGATGTGCGACGCCTGACGTGCTGTGTTTCCTTTTTTTGGGTTTGGCGGGAACCAATCAGATTTGTCCGATCTGCAAAAATGCTCCCGATGGAACAGTGCAAACGCGAGAAAAATGTTTCGCTCAAGCCCCCTTTCAAGTTGGCCCCGGGTTCACTATTTTGCATTTCAGTTGAAACCCATTGTTACACTGCATCACTACATTTAGCAGACTAGGCTTACGGTAGCTACACAGCCATAAAAGATGCATACTTGGAAGAGAATTTACAGCACAATTTCTAGAACCATAATCTAGATATGGTACCTAATCCAATGTGTACAGTATAAGTCGTAGCACAGATGTTTTTTTCAACAGCACCCTCCTCTCTGTGCAGCGGCATCATTTCTTCCTCCTGCTCCTTGTGTGCCTCCAGTACCGTAACCCACCTTAATACCGTACGTCTGTTTGAACAAGAAAATGCAAACAGTGAGCGGTTGAATACCAGGGTTAAGTTGTGCAAAAATATAAAAACAAACGAACAAACAAACAAAGAACCGGGGAAAAAAAAATCACCTCATTTGAAACATCAAATACGCCTTCTTGAATCTTCTGGTATATTTTTGCTGCGGTATTTATGAAGGCCTGTAATGGCATGCAAAGACAGACATCAACAAGACTGGCTCGTGAACAGAGCGATGTGCTAGGAAACGGGACAGGTACAGCAATGGAATTGGATATGTGACGAAAGTACAGGAAAATGCGGCGGTAAAAAAACTCCGATGGGACGTCGACAGAGATTCAGTGTCGGGAGAATGGGGAGGACGAGAGGCAGAAAACAGGAACAAGCCGTACCTCCTCCACGTTATGAGCAGTCTTTGCTGAAGTTTCCATGAACACAAGTCCATTCTCCTTCGCAAACTGCTCCCCTTCCTGGGTGCTGACTGCTCGACGATGTGCCAAATCACTCTTATTTCCGATGAGCATAATGGTCATATTCGAGTTAGCATGCTGCCGAGCATCTTCAAGCCAGCTCGTGAGATGGTTAAAAGTTTCTCTCCTGTGTTTTAAAAAAATGGGGGGGAAACATTCTATTGTGAGACGAACATCCCACGGAAGTCAACCCATGGCGGTAGGGCAGAAACTGAAAAGCAATACCTAGTGATATCGTATACAAGTAATGCTCCAGCTGCACCTCGGTAGTATGACCTTGTGATGGACCGAAACGACTCTTGTCCAGCCTGAACACGCAAGAAAGCACGCTCGTTAAGGACGGCGTAGAAACCTTACATCCTACCAGCAAGAAAGGCACTCACAGTATCCCAGATCTGCAACTTAATTGGTTTTCCTTCAATAGTAATCATACGTGCGCCGAACTCCACCCCAATTGTCAAGTCATGTACGGGTTGGAACCTTTTGTCCGTGAATTGAAGCAGCAGACATGACTTTCCTACACCTGCCAATACGGAGAGACAAGAGAACAGGGGCGGGGAGAAAGGAGGCGAGAGAGGGGGGACGGAGAGGGGAGAAGAGAGGGCAGGCGGGGTCGGAGAGGGGTGGGTGGGTAGTGGGGAACCGACGTCTCTAATCATGACCTCAACGGAAAATAGTATGAACTAGGGATATGATCAACGAGGAAATACCTGTGTCCCCGATGATGATGTACTTGAACAAATACGCGTAGGACATCCCGACACCGTGATAAGCTGTCTCTCAAATAATCCGCAAAACTCGCACAACCGCCTCGAAAAAAACACGAGTATGTTCGAACGCAGAACTAGAAAAATCGGAAACCAAGGAGCATACGTGGAAAGATGTGCAAGCGCAGTGCCGTGAGGGTTAGGTTACGGTGAAAGGGGATGGCATGGGAGTGGTTGACAGAAAGAGCTCGTTTCAGCCAAGCCCACCCACAAACATGTGAAACTGTGGCACCTTCCCTGTGTTGCCTCCACTTTTCCCTCTCTCGCGAAGAAAAGCGTAGTGTACTGCTATATTGAATGCTTCATACCTAGCCATCAACAACAATGGATCTCAATTCTTATCTCAACCTGATTTTGTCCCAAAAATGCACATGCTAACACAAAATATATGGCGTATGGTGGATGCGCAAATGTGAAATGGGGTGCGGGATGGGGTGTGTTGATGGGGTGTCCTGACTGGGTGTCCAGTTGATGGGGTGTCCTGACTGGGTGTTCAATTTGGGTTTTTTGATGAGGTTTTTTAAGGGTGTTGCATTTGGCTTGTTTTTCTGGTGAATGTCTCTCACCAAACGTATGGTGAACTGGTTGGTGCTTTGAAATATATATATATATATATATATATATATATATATATATATATATATATATATATATATATATATATATATATATATGGCGTATAGTGCATCCATATGCACAATTCAAATCCTCATAAGACTAGTTCACAATGCGAAGAGTCTGTATGAGTATCAAACGTTTACTGCATGTAGTATGCAACCAGAGACAAAGGTTTCATATCAGTATAATCTAACGAGATTTAATATCAGTATATTCTAACTGGGCCCAGATTGCTTTTCAACCTTGCAAATCAAATCTTGCCAAGAATTATAGGCTTTATAGGCTGGCTCTAAACGAGTTCTAGGTCGCCTTTTGCGAGCCAGCCTACATAGCACCAAGCTAACACAATTAGAGTATTCCTTAGCTTTCTTTACCGTCATCATGCCATCCTCCTTCCATTCCCCAAACCTCCCACCAACCCCGTCACACCCGCGTCTCTCCCAGCCCAGCCGCATTGCCGCCCTCTTCGCGCTAGTCGCTCTCGCCTCTCTCCTCACCTGCATCTTCCTCTCCCTCCCACCCGCGGCCCCTCCGCCGCTCCCCCTCGTCCCCCTCACCGCCATCGCCGCTGCCGCCCAACCACATGCCGCCGTGACTGTCGCAGGAGGGAGAGGGGGAACAGGACGGCGGTTGCAGGGGCTGCGCGCGCCCCGTGACACCAAGCGCAAGTGGAATGGCGGAAGCTTCCTCGAGTTCTCTGCGGACGAGAGTGCGCGCATTAACGGACTGGGGGGGAGTGGGAGTGCGCGAGATGGGGGGGCGCAAAGGGAGTCGGGGGAAAAGGGAGCGGAAAAGACGAAGAACAGCGGATGGGCAGGCGTAAGCAGGCGGGTTGGAGGGATGATGTGGCGGGTGCGATGGTGGGGAGGTGGGGGTGGATCAGACGGAAGCAAGTCTGATGCCGTTGGCGCGAGCGACGAGCGCGCACGCCATGGCGGCGTGGCGGAGAGCGCGAGGGCGCTGGTAGTTACGGCAAGGGGCGGACGCGGCGGGCAGCCGCTGCAGCACAGCGAAGGCGGGGAGAGCCGTGGGGCGCGGGAGGGCAACGGGGAAGTGCAGGACGCGGTGGCGCCAGGGGGTGTGGCGCAGCAAGTGGAGGGGCGCGGAGAGGGGGGGGAAGGGGTGGTGACGGGGATGCGTGCGGTGGGGCGGCTGGCGGACATGGAGGTGCTGCCGCTGGGGCAGGGGATGGGGGGTCGACGAGAGGCAGTGGCAGGGGGAGATGAGGGGGGGAGTGCGTGTGAGCGGATGGCAGGGAGGACAGTGCAGAGGGTGGGTAGGCGCGGGGCGCTGGTACCTGAGGAGGGCCGCGCGCCCGCCAACGCCACCTCGCCTGCGCGCAGGGGCGGGGAGAGCAGGGCGCGCGCAGCAGCGGAGGGGCGCGGGCAGTGGCGCGTGCGGCGCGTGGCGCTGCACCCGGCAGTGCGGCGCTCCACGGGGCTGCCCCTGCGCTGCCACCACTGGCGCAGCGACGCCGTCTTCCTCCTCTCCGCCGCCCTGCCCGCCCACGGCCTCAGCCCCCTCCTGCCCGTGCGCCCCCCGCCCTCCCCCCTTGCTTCTCCCCTCCCCACCATCTTCCCCTCGAAGCTTTCTCACGTACTCCCCTCGCTGCTGTACATCTATTCCCCTGCGTTCCCACGTATTCCGCTCTGCTTTCCTACTTACTCCCCTCTGCTTTCCCTCTTAGTCCACCTCTCTTCTACACCACTTGCTTCCCTCTCGGCTTTCTCACTTCGTCCGCCTTCATTCTTTCTTGCTTCCTCACGTTCTGCTCTCTCGCTTCCTCTGCTCGCTGCTACCCCATGTGCACGCCTCTCTGTGGCGCCATGCCATGCCGTGCCATGCCGTGCCATGCCATGCCATGCCATGCCATGCCGTGCCATGCCATGCCATGCCGTGCCGTGCCATGCCATGCCATGCCGTGCCGTGCCATGCCATGCCGTGCCGTGCCATGCCGTGCCATGCCATGCCGTGCCGTGCCATGCCATGCCGTGCCGTGCCATGCCGTGCCATGCCGTGCCATGCCGTGCCATGCCGTGCCATGGGCAGGAATTGGATGCGCGCCTGCAGTCGGTGGGGCTACAGTACACGCTCGCCCTCGTGCCGCGCAACGTCTCACATGCCCACGCTCTCAGGTGTGTCGCATGCCCACCCACACTTCACCCACCATCTTTTGCATTTCCCTTTCCCTTGCCCTTCCCACTCAATCTCGTTCCCACCCCGTCCGCTCTGCTTGTCGCTCCCGTCCTCTCCCCCACCGTACGCCAAAGCTCGTCCTCTCCCCCACCGTACACCAAAGCTCGTCCTCTCCTGTACGTCTACCAAAGCTCGTCCTCTCCTGTACGTCTACCAAAGCTCGTCCTCTCCTGTACGTCTACCAAAGCTCGTCCTCTCCTGTACGTCTACCAAAGCTCGTCCTCTCCTGTACGTCTACCAAAGCTCGTCCTCTCCTGTACGTCTACCAAAGCTCGTCCTCTCCTGTACGTCTACCAAAGCTCGTCCTCTCCTGTACGTCTACCAAAGCTCGTCCTCTCCTGTACGTCTACCAAAGCTCGTCCTCTCCTGTACGTCTACCAAAGCTCGTCCTCTCCTGTACGTCTACCAAAGGTCGTCCTCTCCTGTACGTCTACCAAAGCTCGTCCTCTCCTGTACGTCTACCAAAGCTCGTCCTCTCCTGTACGTCTACCAAAGCTCGTCCTCTCCTGTACGTCTACCAAAGCTCGTCCCGTAATCACCCCCTCCCTGTCTGCCACCCCCAGGTACGCCCCTCTGTACCGCGCAGCACCGCAGGGTGGGGTGCGAGCAGGGGCAGGGAGGCAGGACGTGCGGTACAGTGCAGCGCATGCGGAGGTGTGGGCGCGCGTGGTGGCGGCGCGGCTGCCGTTCGCCCTGGTGCTGGAGGAGGACGCCCTCAACCGCAGCGAGGGCGTTGCCGCCTGGCAGGCGCGCTTCGAAATGGTGACCTGCCAACGGGGGACGGGAAGGGGCGCAGTGGGCCACTCCACGTAATACGCTTCCTGCTGCCTTGCTTATCCTGCTGCATTGCTTATCCTGCTGCAGTGCTTATCCTGCTGCCTGTGTTGCCTTTTCCCCTTCCACTCCCACGGCGTACGTGCTCAATCCTGCCCTCACGCCCACATGCCTGCACCTCCCCTCCTCCCCTGCTTCCCCCCTCCCCCTCGCCCCCCCAGCTGCTGTGGGAGCTGAATCTGCTGATGCTGCAGCGCGCCGACCGTTTCTTCTTTGACGTGCTGCTGCTGGCGCGCCACGGCCTCGCGCCCTACGCGGAGCAGCAGCTGGCTCCGGGCATCGTGAGCGCGCAGCCCAGCCAGGCCATGCACGCCTACCTGCTCTCCTACGCCGGCGCCAAGCGCCTGCTCGCCCTCTCCCGCTTCCACTCGTACTCCCACCGCCCCTGCTCCAGCCCCTCTCTCTCTCCCCCACTCCATGCTGCCCGGACTTTGCTTTTGCCAGCAGCCAGCGCGCATGCATGTGCCTCTTCAATTTAATCCGTGCATCACCTCCCTCTGTCTTCCTCCTCTCTCTCACCCCCTGCTGTCCCCTGCCCCTGCACATGCCCCCCTGTCGACCGTGCAGGCCACTGGCCGAGAGCACGGGAGGCATCCCCGGCTTGACCGTACTGGCAGCGGAGCCGCCTCTCTTCGCCACCACCATCTTTGCCTGCTCGCCCAAACCCTGCCGCACACCGCCCCCTGCGCTCTCCCTGCCCGCCTCCACGCGCCTCACCCCCGCCTGCCGCTCCACCATCCTGCTCGCCCTCCCCGCCCACCCCTCCATGCCCGGCGCTGCCCTGCACGCCCCCTGGCGCATGCGCGACCCTGCCCCCGCCGGCCCACGCTCCTCCATCCCCTCCTCCTCGCCCGCCTTCTGCCCACACCTCTCCCCCGCGCAGTGCCTGCTCGCACACCACCTGCAGCACCTGCTGCCCAATGTGCACGCCCCTCCCCCGCTCCTCCTCCCCACCACGCTGCCCCCCTCGCTGCCCCTCTGGCCGGCCTACGTGCTGTCGCTGCGCCGCTCCCCCCAGCGCCTGCAGCGGGTGCTGCCGCTGCTGCAGCAGCAGGGCTTCGGGGACGTGGTGGTGGCGCACGCCGTGGACGGGGGGGGCACGGGGCAGAGACAGGGGGGAGGGGCGCAGGGGCGGGGGGAGGAGGCGGAGGTGGAGGCGGAGAGGAACCTGGACGTGTTTGGGGGGCTGGTGGGGGCGGGGGCGGTGTCGGTGACACGGCGCTCCATCAGGTGGCACAAGCTGGCGGAGCGGCGGCGCGAGCGGCTCACGAGAGGGGAGGTGGCGTGCGCTCTCTCGCACTACCTCGTGTGGCTCGAGGTGCTGCGCAGGAAGCTTCCCTACGCCATTGTACTGGAAGATGACGTCACCTTCACTACAAGCACATTCCGGGCCGACTTTGAACGGAACATCGCCGAGGCCAATGAGCTGTTGACACGTCAGCACAGCCCGGAGTCACCACCCGACATCCTGTTTGTGGGGCACATGGGGGTGCTGGCAGGCCACTTCATGCCGCTGCTCTCCCCCCACATCGCATGGGACCCCCTCTCCTGGTGCTCCTTTGCCTACATCATCTCCCACCGCGGTGCAGCGCGCCTGGTGGAGGGCTTTAAGGTCGACGACCCCCTCGACTCCCTGTGGTGGCGCCGCCCCAACCTCGCCTTCTGGGCCTTCCAACCCCCCCTCGCCTTCCACCTCTCCTCTCCCCGCCTCAACTCCTCCCTACCACTCCCTTCCTCTTCACCTCCCACACCTCCGCCTCCCTCTCATCCACCTCACCCTGCCTCAACTCACCGCACAGCACACAGCGGCAGCAGCAGCAGCAGCAGCAGCAGCAGCAGCAGCATCAAAGACAGGGCGAGCAGCAGCGGGGCGGAGGTGGCAGGCAGCAGCAGGGCAGGGGAGGACATGCCTCTGCCGGTGCCCTTGTACCCCAGCGAGGTGCAGCAGGGCGGTGGCCAGTGGATGTGAACCACCTGCACTCTCCCATCTGACTTGCCACCCGTTGCCACTGCCAATCTCAATGCCTGCTGTACGCCATCATCTACAAGTCCACTGCAACTCAAGGGCGTGTTCCTACACCTCCTGTCAGCACCACCTCGTGTCACACACTCATTGTACAGAGCGTTTCACACGTTTGGTCTGGTTCAGTTCGGTGCAGGGCGAGTCTGGCTCTAGCAGGGTGCTGTAGGAGCATGCCCTTCAACACTGCTGTGTGTTTGAGTGAATTGCAAGATTTCAAAATTAACGTTAATGTTTTGAAATTATTAAGACAAAGAATAATTTTATTAATTCGTTGAGCAATGCCATTTATAGAGTCATTCAAATCACAGTTGTGACCGAGTTCATGGCATCTCCATCACCCCCAGCAGCAGCAGCATCCTCTTCAGCAGAGCGAGGTTGCGAGGTGTGTGCGCGCCCCCCCATGGTGCTGATGCGATGGCACAGGCGGCACGGCAGAGTGTCAAACCCCATCCTCAGCGCTCGCTGCAGCCCCCCCAGCACTCCGCACCTGGGGGGTGAGGGGGATGATGGTGGCGGGCGGGAGGAGTTCGGGGGCGAAGGTGGTTCGGGGTGGCACTGGGCAAGGAGTGGCAAGCAGGTGAGTGCGCGTGCAGGGGCACACACATAAAGAGCGCAGAGCAGTGCGGTGCAGCATGGGCTCACCGGCGCCAGGCGTGCAGGGAGAGGTATGCCGTGGCGTTGCTGCGCATGGCGTGCACGCGCCGCACTATGCTCTCCTGGCTCTCCGCCCCGCCCTCCATGAACGACTCCGGTGGGGCAAACTCTCCCACGTCTGGCGCCCCGTAGTAGATCGGCACACTGCCTGCTATGAGAGTGTGGGGGATGAGGTAGCATGGTGCGGCATGCTTGACGCTTTTGACTTCCGAGACTCTCTCACGAGCTATCGCCTCCCGAAGAGGTGGGGATGGTGTGACGTGTGCATGTGAGCAGGAGGACATTCTGTGCTACACGTGTAGCCTGTTAAGGGGCGCATGGTGTGTGGGTGGGGACTGGTGCGAAGAGGGGTGGGAGGGCACCTGCGAGGAGGGGCAGGAAGAACTTCTCGGTGACGTAGGCGGGGCGGTGGTGGCGCTCGATGGCGAGGGAGAAGAGGAAGTGCGACTGTGCACACGCCAGCTCCCCCCACCACCCTGCATACGGCCCCCCGCGCGCCCCACCTCCCAAGCCACCCCCAACTACCTCGTCCACGCCCGCCATCTCCCGCTCCCTCGCCGTCCATCCTGCCCCCTCCTCCGCCCCCCCTGCACTCCCCTCTCCCTCCTTCTTCTCCCCCTGTCCCTCCTTCCCCCCTACCTCCCCTTGCACCACTGAACCCCCACTTCCGCTGCGCCCCACAGCTGATGTGCCCCGTGCAACGGCCCCACCCTGCAATCCTACACCAGGGGGCCCCGTCCCCCCTTGCCCGTGCACCTGCGCCTGCCCCCGCGCCCCTGCGCCCTGCGCCCCTGCCCCCTTGGGTGCGTGCGAGTACTGGCAGCGGGGGAAGGCGCGGCGCAGGGAGCGGCGCAGTGGGAGGGGCGTCTGCAGGCCGAAGCGGTGTGTGAGGGGGTGCGCCAGTAGCAGCGGCGCTGCTGCTGCTCGCCAGGGCGAGTAGCGTGATGAGGCATGGAAGATGGTAAGCGCCTGAGGGGGGGATTGCGTGTGGTGGGGAGAGCGGGACAGAGGGGATGGACGAACGAGATAGTGGGGATGCGTGCTCAAACATGCACTGTGTCTCGTTCCCCATGCACTGTGTCTCGTTCCCCATGCACTGTGTCTCGTTCCCCATGCACTGTGTCTCGTTCCCCATGCACTGTGTCTCGTTCCCCATGCACTGTGTCTCGTTCCCCATGCACTGTGTCTCGTTCCCCATGCACTGTGTCTCGTTCCCCATGCACTGTGTCTCGTTCCCCATGCTACAACAGTGCAACACGGCAAGGACGGAGCACGAAGAGGAGCAGCGCAGGAGCAGGCAGCAGGCAGCAGGCAGCAGGGTGGCAGGGCACGCACGGGGGACTTGGAGGCAGCGATGAGGGGGTTGTGGTCGGCGAGCAGCAGGTTGCTGGCATACGTGCACTGCACGTCCGCACCCGGGCCATACCCCACCGTCACATCCACCCCACTGCCCGCCTGCGCGCCCCCTTCCCCCTCTCCCCCCTCCCCCTCCGCCTCCATGGCCACGTGCACGAGCAGCGGGTCGCCCTTGACTCTCACCCCCCTGGGCGCGCCCCCCTCGTACAGCATGGCGTCTGGGCGCGCCGCCAGCACCTCACTGCGCGACAGCGTGCAGGTGAGGCCGCAGGGGCATGTGAAGAAACCCTCCAGCCACGCGGGCAGGGATGAGGACGCCATGACCTGCACCGCGTGGTTGCCAAGGGCAGCGGGATGGGAATGCCACCGGACGATCGCGGTTGGGGAACTTGCCAAGAGCAGAAGGAGGAATTAGAAGTAGCAAGCTTGCGAGAGTGAAGGGGTATGTGCTGGTGGGTGGGGCATGTGGAGGGTGGAGCGCGCACCTGCACGGTGACATGGGGCAGCTTCAGCACCGAGCAGTCACTCGCCTCCTCGCCCTGGAAGCTGCTGCCGCCACCACCGCTGCTGCTGCTGTGGCCTGCACATGCAGCACAGGGGAGTCAGAGACTGCACGTGCCAAACCACCCCTCTCACCCCTTCCAACACCCCCTGCCACCTACCGGACCTGCGTGTTTGGCTCGGAATCGCTCGCAACCTTCGACTCGGTCCCACTCCCTCCACGCCTCCTCCACCCGCCACGCTTCACCCTCCGCGCGCCCCTCCTCCCACGGCCGCCTGCCCCAACTCGCCCCTTCCGCTGCTCCTGCCAAGCTCTCTGGGGCAGCCGTCCCGCCACCACGCCCGCCCATCCCCGCATTCTGCCCCGCCCGCCCGCCCGCCTCCCCTGCCTCGCCCGCTGCCCCCTGCTCTGCGCCCCCCCCTCCCGCCTTCCCCCTTATCCCCCCCACAGGCCCCTTGTCCTGCGCCTGCTCCCCCTCGTCTTCTCTCCCCCGTCGGCTGCTGCCCTCACCTCCCTCGTCCTCCTCCTCATCGAACTCGCCACTCAGATCGCGCCACGTATCCCTCTCCCATCCCTCGCCTGCCGCCCACCCCACCACAGGCGACGGGGCGAGGGATTGCGAGGGGGGATCAGGCGCGGGCAATCGGGTCAGGCGACGACGAGCGGGAGCGGGCGACAGCTGCGATGGCGAGGAGCGAACGGGCGACGAGAGGCCTGCGCCGGGAAGAAGGCGGACGAGGCAGACAAGGCATAGCACGCACAGGAGAGGCGTGCGGATAGGTGCGCGACGACTCCGCGGGGCGGGCATGTGGCGCGGGTGGGGGAACGCGGCGACGTGCGGAGTGGTCATGCGGGTGACATCAGCGCCGCAGACGTGCGCAGGTGCGCGATGCGTGACGGCGGGCAACTGTTGTGCATGTGAAGGACCTGGGGGCGACAGGTTATGTTCTTGGAGCAGCCTCTGGTTGGGCGAGTGTAAGTGTCCTAATTATCTCTCTTGCTTCAGGTATGCTAAATGTATGCACGTTTCCTAGTATATTGCTTTCAACATCATCATTGGATTCTTTTGAGCTTAGCAGAGGCAACATTCTGTGCATTTGCATTGCCACAAGCATGACATCTGTCAGGCAGCACAATGACTAGCCAGCCTAACACGCACGGCACAGCACAGCACACCACTCCACTCCACACCACTCCACTCCACTCCACGCTACAACCCACTGGCAGTGTGGCCCGCTGCCCTCCACTTCCACCGCCCTCTAGTGCCTGCACGAGGAGACGAGGCACACACAGCACGGTGAGACGGCAGCAGTGCTGGCATTGCAAGGCACCACGGGAAGAGGCAAGAGCGGCAGTGGATTGCAGAAGAGAACAACATGTGGGCAGGCGAGGAGAGGGCGGGGTGGGAGGGGGGAGGGAGGAGCGGGGGGGCAGGAGGAAGAGCAAGAAGAGATTTATAAGGAGACCGCGGGCAGAAGCGGGGGGTAGCTGTGTGGGGTGGGAGGCTCAGCACGGACCAGAGGGTGCTAGACGATGGAGTTGGCGGCGCTGGCGACACGAGGCCAGAGATCCGCGCACTCCTTGGCCACCGGCCCCGTGATGGCCGACCCTGCCATGCACGCACCACCACAGACAAACAACACCACGCACAAGCAAACAAGCAAGCAAGCAAGCCGCATCGACAGTCAGGGCGCGTTGCAAGAGACGAGCGAAGGCATGGTGCGCGCAAGCAACGAGCGGTGATGGAAGGGCGTGGGACGCGCGGGGCACGAGGCCGTGAACTCACCTTTCATTTCTCCTTTCGGGTTCACGATGACTCCCGCATTGTCTGCACCACACAACCACCGCACATACACACATCAGCCACGTCAGCAACGGCTCAGACAGACCGCGAGCATGAGAACACGGAGGGCCACGAGTGCTGAAGTTCCGAAAACCGACAGACGTACTGACTACCTCTGGCGGCACTAGCGCGCAGTGTCAAGCAGCCGCACAGTAAGGGGCCAATCTACTTGCTTCCACCCAGCCCTGATTGGCCATGCTTTGCCCTACTTTCCCCCACTCGGCCCTACAGGCAACACAACGCCTGACCTTCGAAGTACATGAAGACGCCGTCCTTTCTGCGCCACGGCTTGCGCTGCCGCACGATCACCGCCGGTAGCACTGCGGCGGGGGACAAGGGGGGAAAGTGCGGGTGGATGGTGAGGCAGCAGAATGACATACATGAGCGCATGGCAGCACGAGTCGCGCCGCCCGACAAAGCGGGCAGCGAGATCCGGAGCTTCCAGAGGGTGTCGAACAATCATGCGTCTAAACCCTAAAATACGGCGCGAGTAGACGAACGCATTTGCCGGCAATCTCCACTACACCTCAAACCCTAAAACAGCACATCGCTCTCCCAGGCGGGCGTGGCGGCAGTAGCGGCGCTCACCCTTTTTACGCAGGTCGGGCTTGCCCTTCTTGACCGTCGCCATCACCATGTCGCCCACGGCGGCGGCCGGCAGGCGATTGAGGCGGCCCTTGATGCCGCACACCGACATGATGAAGAGGTTCTTCGCGCCCGTGTTGTCCGCGCAGTTCACCACCGCCGCCACCGGCAGACCCAGGGTCACTCGAAACTTGGCTCCCGTCGTCGTTCCACCTGCCACGCAACACCCACACACCGCGCCGCTGCATTTCAGACTTCACGGGAGCAACCACTCTATTGGGCTACGACCGCATAGAACTCGTGCGCAACTTTGAACGAATCTGAAGCTAAACCAATACAGGGTAGTGCGCCGAAGTACTACAGGCGAGGCGGCTTCTGAAACAGATGTATAAGCAGAAGAAGCAACGATGATGACAGACGGTAAGGGATGGGAGTCCTTGCCTCGTTTGGACGCCATGGCTGCGTGCTAACCACCTACGAAAGAGATCAGAAAGAATGAGAAGCAGCAGCTAAATAGGGCAGAGAGACCTGCTGAGAGGCGTTCGATCTTCAACCATCGACGAACGTGGACCGTCGATTCTCACGTTTGAGGGTTTGGCTCGTGTGGAGGTTTCGAGAGTTGAAGGTCGCGAAAACAAAATTGAAAGGTTTCGAGGTTACAAGCTGTAGTGACATTCTTCATTAATATAACATTTTGAGCTTATGCTATTTGGGAAGAATTTCAAGTGCAACTTCCTTCAAAGATGGCATCTTGTCTTGTTTGTGGATGCATATCAGCTTCCCGTTCGCATCTTCCCTCAATACTTGCCACGGTCCTGGATATGCCCTGCACCAATCAAGATACATTGATTCAGAATTACTTTAGCGGGAACCAAGCCAGTACATTGCTCACAATCTTTCTTAACGTACCTGAATAGCTTGCCCCCAAACCGTCCTTTGAAGTTATGAATGTAATAAGCAGCTTCGAAGAGTGGAAGGAGGACCTTATTGATTTTGGCCAGTTTCGGGTAAAAGAATGACGGGTAGTCTGCCAAACGAGGCAAACCAAAGGGAAAAAAAGGCAACGGTCCTTGAAGAAAAATGCATATCACATCCAAAGAACATTGCGACGGTTATGATCAGGCAGCTGGGTTATGATGCTAGGGTTGACAAGGTAAGAATAACGACATGTTACATGTTGCTTTCGTTCATGCAACTCACATCCTGATCGGATCCGATCGAGCTCTCCATTGAAGACAATGATTGGCTGCCCCTTTTGGCTTGCCACGTCACGGTACAGATCATCAACGGCCAGCATTTCTGCACTCACGGTACGTGGGGGACACGGCAGCAAGGCATGAGATCAGCAGCAAGGAGTGATAAGCTTCCAGGTATGAAAGGGGCACAGGGCATGCTGCGAGCTCGCAGTGCAGCACAGCAGAGTGGCCCGTGTGAGCGGGGCAGCATGCACCGTTGACGTTGAAGTAGGGGTAGGCCGCCACAAAGAGGCGGTCGGTGGCGGCCACGCGGTCAGCGAGGGGCAGCTTGCGCGAGAAGCCGATGTCCTCCAGCCCCGTGGGCTTGGTCAGGCAGTCCAGGGGGAACGCCGTGCCCTCAAACACCTCCTGCGCTGCCGGCAGCTCGTTGGCGTCCGGGAAGAACTGTGGCATGCAGTGCAGTGGTGTGGGGGCAAAGGGGGTGAGAGAAGGGGTAGGGGCAGCCGTTAGCATGCAGGGAGAAGGATGGGGTAGGGTCAGAAGGGAGAGGGGAAGGGTAGGGACAGTCAGGGAGGTGCCTTTTGAGTCGACTCAAAAGTCAAGAAGGGTAGGGACAGTCAGGGAGGTGCGGTGCAGCGGGAGCGATGGCGCGGTGCAACTCACAAGGCGCACGGAGGAGGGCGGGGGGCCTTTTGAGGCGAACATGAGGCAGTACTGGCGCAGCATTCGCATGCTGTTGGTCATCTCTATCCCGCCCTCCGCATCGCCTGCCACCCGCCAGCATGGGGCATGGGACAGGTGCCGAGCCAAGACGAGTGGAGCACCGGGCAGAGATTGGCAGAGCAAGGTGGGCACCAATGAGACGAGCTTTGCACTTGAGGACTCCCAACACACGTTGCCATGTGCGGCAAGTGTGGCACGATGGCATGTGTGGCTTCAGGTCGTGCATGGAATGTGAGGCATCATGGCGTGTGTGGCATGAGTGGCAGGATGGCATGAGTGGCAGGATGGCATGTGTGGCAGGATGGCATGTGTGGCAGGATGGCATGTGTGGCAGGATGGCATGTGTGGCAGGATGGCATGTGTGGCAGGATGGCATGTGTGGCAGGATGGCATGAGTGGCAGGATGGCATGTGTGGCAGGATGGCATGAGTGGCAGGATGGCATGTGTGGCAGGATGGCATGTGTGGCAGGATGGCATGTGTGGCAGGATGGCATGTGTGGCAGGATGGCATGAGTGGCAGGATGGCATGTGTGGCAGGATGGCATGAGTGGCAGGATGGCATGTGTGGCAGGATGGCATGTGTGGCAGGATGGCATGTGTGGCAGGATGGCATGTGTGGCAGGATGGCATGTGTGGCAGGATGGCATGAGTGGCAGGATGGCATGTGTGGCAGGATGGCATGAGTGGCAGGATGGCATGAGTGGCAGGATGGCATGTGTGGCAGGATGGCATGAGTGGCAGGATGGCATGTGTGGCAGGATGGCATGTGTGGCAGGATGGCATGTGTGGCAGGATGGCATGAGTGGCAGGATGGCATGTGTGGCAGGATGGCATGTGTGGCAGGATGGCATGAGTGAAATGAGAGCACAGTGAGCCGCACAGCCCACCTGGCACGGAGTCAAGGCTGGCCGTGGGGAACTCCACCTCCTGGTGGGCGCACGGGCACCATGGCATCATGGCAGGATGGCATCATGGCGGGATGGCATCATGGCGGGATGGCATCATGGCGGGATGGCATCAAAGCATAGCATCAGTGCACGACGGACAGCCGCTATTAAATGACAACACAAAAAGAACCAAGACGGGTGTGGGCTGGGCGGGGGGAAGGGGGGGAGGGGGGGGGCGGGGTTGAGAGATACAGAAGGAGAAGAATGAGGTACCCTTTGTGAGAGGCAATGCGGTGGTGAGTGGCCAATCCGGTACGACGAGGTAATGCCAGAGGGAATGCGATTAAGAGGGAATGCGATCAAGCGGGAATGCGATTAAGAGGGAATGCGATTAAGAGGGAATGCGATTAAGAGGGAATGCGATTAAGAGGGAATGCGATGAAGAGGGAATGCGGTGGTACGATGCGGCACCTTCGGGTGCGTCTCACCAGCAGCGTGCGGCCATCGGCGAGAGCTGCTTGAGTGGCTTGCTGCGCCTGCAGCACGGGGAACACACACGCCATCCACAACACACGCATCAGATTTGCTGAGCTGGCATCACGGACAGCTAGGAGTATCAACCAGGTCGCCACCATCGTGGAATGCGCGCGCGCATGGGGCGCACATTGCGATGCGCGCACTCCCCCCGCGCTAGCGCCCTCTGCGCGCATTCCTTGCTGCACGCGCTACCTGTCGGATGGCCTCGTCGTAGTCGCGCGGGAACGCCGCCAGCTCGCCGCCGCCTGCCGCCGCCACCGCGAGGGTCGCCGCCGCCCTTACCGCGCGCTGGCGGCGACCGCGTGGGCCCGACGTGCATCCATGGTCGTGGGGGGAGAGGGCGCTAGCGAGGGCTGTGCGCGCATGCAATGCTGCGCGCAGCGGGAAAAATGCGGGCAGGCGGCGGTCACTAGCGAGGAGAGCGCAGGACTGAACGCGCGCTGGAGGAGCGGCGCTTGCGGGGGAAGCAGCCGCGGCAGGTACGAGGGGGCGGGCGACGGAGAGAGCGGAGAGTGGCATGGTGGCGGGCTGGCTTGGGTTGGGAGTGACGGCAGGCGAGCCTTGAGATTATCAGGGACTGGGATTTCCGATATCCGCGATTGTAAGGCGAGCGTCAGAAAGACACATGGTTGGAAGTCAGCCGGTAAAAAATGGAGACTGTACAAGCACGTTCAATATAAAGCTAAGCCTTCATCCCCTAGTGCATAGCTAGCAATACTTCAAACAATAACACAGGACCCACCTATCCTCCCTATTCGTATGATCAACCTCTCCCCCCCTTGATCTCATCATATCATATCGAGCACGCGCCGCAGCTGGTCCCTGACAATGGCCATGTCGGGGCGGTTGTCGCGCTCGTACAGGATGGCGGAGCGGATGGTCGCCAGCACGATGGCGCTGGCAGCGGGCTGCCACTGCCCCGCCAGCGCCGGGTCCAGCACCTGCGCGGGGTCTGCTTCGCGCGCCACGGCCACGGCCTTGCGCACGGCCTTGAAGCGCGGGCCCTGCGCTGATGCCCCCGACACGAGCTCGAGCAGGAAGATGCCAAACGCGTACGTGTCTGATAGACGCGTCAACGTGCCTGGCAGGCCGCGCAGAGCAGTGGGGGGTTGGGTGGGGGGTTAAGAGGGAGGGGTGAAGCCAAGGCGAAACTGCATGGACGGAAAGTGTTGATGAGTGATGAGCTGCTATGGTGCAATGCTGCTGTGCTCGTGGCATGGTGCAGGGGGGAGGGCATGGGGGAGGGCAGGTGGCGGACCGGAGTCGAAGTAGGCGGGGTCGATGTAGGACATGGAGGAGGCGCCCCTCATCTGCACGTGCATCTTCCAATCCGCCACCACCCGCGCCAACCCATAGTCCGCCACCACTGGCGTGCCGTCCTGCCCAGAGCCACAGCAGCACCGGTAGGGAGGGTGGTTGAAGGAACAAAGCGAACGTCGTTTATAGACAGAACATGAATGGACTGGCCATGGTGCCACAGTGAGGCCGATAGATGGAAGGACGATGAGGAAAAGGAGGTAGCTTGGGCATGGACGCAGGCAACGACGGTGCAAGGCGCAGCAGCAGCTCACAGCGCGCAGCAGCAGCTCACGGCGCGCAGCAGCAGCTCACGGGTTGCAGCAGCACGTTGGAGGCTTTGAAGTTGCGGTGCACGAGGTTGAGTCGGTGCAGCTGAGCTAACACGTCCGCACATGTGAACGCCATCTGCACTCTCTCCCTCCACCCGAACTGCACCTCTCCCCGCGCCACTGCATGGTGCACGGGGGCAGGGGGGGGAGAGGGGAAGAATGGCATGGGAGATGCAGGATTGGTATGGCACGGAGGGTGGCATCATGCAGTGGGCTTGCAATGAGCGTGAATGAATGAACTGCTGAGCTACGCACCTCGTGCCATGAGTTGCTCCACGCACCTCGTGCCATGAGCTGCTCCACGCACCTCGTGCCATGAGTTGCTCCACGCACCTCGTGCCATGAGCTACTCCACGCACCTCGTGCCATGAGCTACTCCACGCACCTCGTGCCATGAGCTGCTCCACGCACCTCGTGCCATGAGCTACTCCACGCACCTCGTGCCATGAGCTGCTCCACGCACCTCGTGCCATGAGTTGCTCCACGCACCTCGTGCCATGAGCTACTCCACGCACCTCGTGCCATGAGCTACTCCACGCACCTCGTGCCATGAGCTGCTCCACGCACCTCGTGCCATGAGTTGCTCCACGCACCTCGTGCCATGAGCTACTCCACGCACCTCGTGCCATGAGCTACTCCACGCACCTCGTGCCATGAGCTGCTCCACGCACCTCGTGCCATGAGCTACTCCACGCACCTCGTGCCATGAGCTGCTCCACGCACCTCGTGCCATGAGTTGCTCCACGCACCTCGTGCCATGAGCTGCTCCACGCACCTCGTGCCATGAGCTGCTCCACGCACCTCGTGCCATGAGTTGCTCCACAGTGCCGCCTTCAATGAAGTCACAGATGATGATGGGCGGCCGCTGCGCCACATACCCGTGCACGCGCAGCAGGCTGGCGTGCCGCCCCTCCTCCTCCACCAGCGCGCACTCGTGCTGTTCCCATGTCCGTTGCATGGGCCGTGTGTCACATGCCATGTGCCATGTGCCATGTGCCATGTGCCATGGAGGAAGGGGCACGGAGCAACAGGGGAAGCAAGTGAGCTGGCTGCACAAACGAAGGTCCGTGCAGACAAGGCAAGGAGGGGGGGATAGGACAGACGACCACTGAGAGCATCCATGCTTGCATCACCTCCCCCTTGCCCCCTCTTCCCCCCACCCCCTCCTCCCCCCCCTCCCTTCCCCCCCCCCACTGACCGCGAAGGTCGCCAGCCCCCCCACGCCTGTGACGGGGTCGCCGTTCAGCACCTTCACCGCCACCGGGATCAGCGCGCGCGCGCCCGCGCCCTCTGCGCCCTCCCCCTCTGTGCCGTCCCCCTCCGCGCGCGCGGCGTGCGCCCACATGAAGCCCTTGTACACGAACCCGAACGGGCCGCGCCCTGCGAGCGCCTTGAAGCCCTCCGTGGCGTGCAGCGCGTCCTCGAACGCGTACTCGCGCACCCACCCCCGCCCGCGCTCCCCCTCCCCCGCCGCCCGCACCGTCGGGTACACGGGGTCTGGCGCGCGCGAGGGGGGAAGGAGGAAGAGAAATAGGGGGTTGGGGAGAGAAGGGGGCAATGAGTGATTTCGTGAGCGGAGAATAAAATGGATAGCACCAGTTGAGTGGAGTAGCGCGTTGAACCACTCTAGATCGGTTCTTGCGGTGATAGCGCGATTGGTGGTGGCACTGGAACTGGTGGCGTTTCGGGGAAGAGAGCGGAAAGCGGGCAAAAGAGGTGATAGAGAGCAAAAACGGCGGGCGGGGCAGAGCGTCGTACGCAGTTCACCGTCGCCCACTGGTCGCGAGAAGAGCCCGCCCATGACGCTGCGCGGCGCCTGCCGTCGCACGGCGACGGCGACGCTGAGAGCTGGCGACGGGCTGGCACTCAGGATAGTCGCCGGCTGGCTCGACGGGCGATGTCTGGTAGTCACGCGCTGGTGAGTCGCGGCGACGGAGAGAACGGACGGCTAAGATGTGGCTATCTCACGTGGCCTGAACTGGAGTGACGTGAAGTTCGCGAGTTATGCAGTCGATCATGGTTCATCGTGGCGTGACGGCCGCACGCTCAACTCTGCACACTCGACTCGCCGCATGACCCCCTGCCTAAAGCGAATCGGCTAACAAGGGAATTGAAGTCGTGAAGTTCACGTGTGTGCGTCGTACTCGCGTAAAGATTCCTAACTTGGACTCAAGCTGCTGGGAAATACTTGTCACACTGCTTCCTACCTCGAGATTGGCTTTCCAATAAGACCAGCTGTGTCGCAACTGAAGAGCTCATGGCTACCGCTCGCTTCAACGCGTCGTGCGCTACTGCCGTTGACCGCACCCAGCTGGATTGGCCGAGTACCCGCCATTCACGAAAGTCAAGTCAGACTCGCGAAACAGTCGCGATCGCCAGCGAGATGCAACCAGCGTGCTGCTGCGAAACAGTGGTTTCTGAAACAGTGGTGTTCCCAAGGTTCGGTTCGGTCGGTCGGCAGGAAAAGTTTGTGTTTCGCGGGCGTCGCATACAATTGCACTTCGTCTCGAATATTTTTCACTCCCAGCACAGCACAGCACAGCACAGCACAGCTCTGCGACCACCACGTCCGTTTTGTTGAGGCTTTCACGGACACACCACGAACGTCAGTGGACCGCGGGACGCGGCTTAGGACCGACGAATGGCATCCACGAGGAGTCTTGAGAGGCCTGAGTGTCCTTTATGTATTGGCTCCGGTGACCGTTAGGTAGTTGACGATCGTCCCGATCCGCAGCGAATAGGAACGAGTGAACCAACGCTCGGCATTCCCGAGAACGTGGCCTAGACCGAGCGACTTGCTGACTTGCGCCGGCTACTAACTTATAGCACACGCTCCACGCGCGGTAGACGAGTCGAGAGTACCGTGCGAGAAGGCCCCAGTCGAGACTCACATCAGGTTGACCCGCCTCTCACTGCCTCCCACTCCACCCGTGCCGCGTGGCGCTCGTTTAGACCGCCACGTGGCGATGGGGTGCGCAGCGTCGCACGCGAGAGGTTCTGAAACGCCACCGCCACCGCAGCTGGGATCGTCGCGATCAGGTGACGCGTGCTGGAGGCTCGCTGCCGTAGCAGGTCAGGTGGGGGGCAGTAGGGAATGCGCGCTGCAGCAGAATAGGTACGCTGCAGTACCGATGGCGCGATCGCGATAGCGTCCAGCACCCGCTCGTACTGCCAACGACGTCACGCCGCCCACCCCCTCAAGTCGTCCCTCTTCCCCCCTTTTGCCCGCCCACCCTCTCTGCCCCGTCCCCCCCACGCCTCTCCTTTTCGCTCCCCCGAATACCTCCTTCCCCCCCCCCACCCAGACCCGCGGTCGCCGTACCCGGTGCGCAAGTCCGCGGAGGCGGGCGGCGGAGTGTGCGAGTACAGCTACCAGGAGGTGCACGCCGCCACGGGCGGGTTCCAGCACGAGGTGGGGCGCGGCGGGTTCGGCGTGGTGTACCACGGGTACCTCGCGGAGCCGCACGGCGGGCAGGGCGCGGGCGTGTGGGCCGTGGCCGTGAAGCTGATGAGCGGCGAGCACATCGCCAACGGCATCGACAGCTTCATGGTGCGCCACGTGGGAAGGGGAGGGAGGGGGTGGATGAAGGAGGAGGGGGAAGAATGGTGGAAACGGGTGAGGGTAATCGTGGGGAACAAGGGGGGCTGATTTGACTGTTTACTCGTGAGCTACCTGCCTGCTAGTCAGCTTTTTCCCGGCCAATCTAATCCCTAGGTGCATGGTGGCATGGTGGCATGGTGGCATGGTGGCATGGGCATGGTGGCATGGGCATGATGGCATGGCGGCATGGTGGTGGTATGGTGGCATGGGGCCATGGCATGGTGGATGGTGGCATGGCGGCATGGCGGCATTGTGGCATGGGGACATGGCATGGTGGCATGGTGGCATGGTGGCATGGTGGCATGGTGGCATGGTGGCATGGCATGGCAGACGGAGGTGGCGGTGATGGCTCGGGTGCACCACCCCAACATCCTGCGCCTGGAGGGGTACGTGGTGGGCGCCACGCCCATCCTCATCTACGACTACATCCCCAATGGGGACGCCGCCTCCTACCTCGCCAAAGGTGCCTCCTACCTCGCCAAAGGTGCCTCCTACCTTGCCAAAGGTGCCTCCTACCTCCTCAAAGGTGCCTCCTACCTCCTCAAAGGTGCCTCCCGCTGCCCAACCCCTCCCTACCTCCGCCAGAGGTGCCGCCCTGGTCGCTGGCACTCTCTCCCCGCCATGCATCCATGCCACTGCCATGCACTAATCGCTGCCTGGACTTTGACCATGTCCATCGCTTGCCTTCCACGCTCACATTCCCCGCTCTCCATGCATCCCCTCGCTCTCCATGCATCCCCCCGCTCTCCATGCATCCCCCCGCTCTCCATGCATCCCCCCGCTCTCCATGCATCCCCCCGCTCTCCATGCATCCCCCCGCTCTCCATGCATCCCCCCGCTCTCCATGCATCCCCCCGCTCTCCATGCACCCCCCCGCTCTCCATGCATCCCTTATGTTCTCCCGCTCCCCCCATGCTGCAGCTCGGAGTGGAGAGGTGCAGTTTGGGTGGAGGGACAGGCTGAAGGTGGCACTGGGGTGTGCGGAGGCGCTGACAGCCATCCACGCCAACGGCTTTGTGCACCGCGACTTCAAGGCGCCCAACGTGCTGCTGCGGGAGGTGAGCCCCCATGTGCTGCTTGGGAAGGTGGACTGCTGCTAAGAGAGGGGAGGCGGGCCTCATGCATGCAGTGCAGAAGCACATGAGACTCACTCGCATCTAACCTCTCTCACCCCACTGCCCTGCGCCCGCCCGCCACAGGACCTGACACCAGTGGTGGCAGACTTTGGGTTGGCGCGAGCGGTGGATGACTGGAAGACACACGTGGAGACACGCGTGATGGGGTCCGTGGGCTACATCGACCCCATCTACTTCGAATCAGGTCAGTGGGCTACATCGACCCCATCTACTTCGAATCAGGTCAGTGGGCTACATCGACCCCATCTACTTGGAATCAGGTCAGTGGGCTACATCGACCCCATCTACTTGGAATCAGGTCAGTGGGCTACATCGACCCCATCTACTTGGAATCAGGTCAGTGGGCTACATCGACCCTATCTACTTGGAATCAGGTCAGCTGCCCCCACCTCTCTGCCATGAATCATTGCACGCAGTCCCTTGTACATCAGATGACCAGCCAGTTACATCAGATGACCAGCCAGTTACATCAGATGACCAGCCAGTTACATCAGATGACCAGCCAGTTACATCAGATGACCAGCCAGTTACATCAGATGACCAGCCAGTTACATCAGATGACCAGCCAGTTACATCAGATGACCAGCCAGTTACATCAGATGACCAGCCAGTTACGTAGGCACTCTTCAAGGTTGCCTTCTGGTATACTTCTCTTGTGCTTCCGCCCCTGCAGGCAACCTGAGCAAGAAGTCGGACACGTATGCGTTTGGGATATTCTTTCTGGAGCTCATCTCGGGCGTGTCTGCGCTTGACGGCAGCTTCAAGGAGCTGCGGCGCCTCGTGACGGGCAATGACTACCCCGATGCCGCTCTTGTCATGGACCCACACCTGGCGGGGCAGTGGCACCTCAAGCACGTGCTCGTGGCCTTCACACTCATCAAGTTTGCAATCTTCTACGACTGGGAAACTAGACCAGGGATGGATGTTCTCATAAGAAAGCTCAAGGATATTGTGTCTGAAGTTGAAACAACATCTGGCGTTAGAAAGATGTGACAAGCTTAATAGGCCAATTCTGTGTTTGTTTTGTTAAGATAATTAGGAAGCTGCGCATTGGGTATCTTGGTGGATCAGTTTAAAGGGAAGTTGTACCTGAAAGTTTATGATCGGTTCATTGGTCTCCGCACGATGTTTCCTTTCGCGTGCGCCTATATCGCGAATCTGGTTCGCGTTTCTGCAATAAATCACCAGTTGGGGATTGACTCATGCCCGCACTCGGCGCCGCCAGTCTCGCTCATTCATTTTCCTCGCCTGCCGAGATTCTCAATTTCGCTTCCCAACCCACCATCATTGCCCTACAAACCGCATGCAACACCCCCTTGGCTCTCGTGAACTATTTCCCACCCATCCCCGTTTCTCCAGCCAGTTCTTCCACCCTTCCACCGACCCTTGCTTCGTCCTCCCGTCAGCGCTAGGAGTTGTCCGCACCAGCCACACGCGCTTCCCAGCTTTGATAGAGTAAATTGCTTTCCGCTGAAACTTCTGTTCGACACAAAGCTGGTTGTAAGACACAGCAGCCCGCTCGCCAGTGTCCAATTCGGGATTCTGCGGCGCATTACAAATCCGCACACCGTCATCTCGGCGCATCGCATCGCAGCGCATCACATCTCAAACACATGGCGTTCGACCAGCCGTGGGTACCCGAGGGCGCGTGGACCACGTCCGTCTTCGCGTGCTGCAACGACGTCCCCTCCTGTGAGCACGCCGCGATCTCTGCGCACCCATGTGTTCGCATCACCGCGCGTGCCCAACTCAGCTCACCCTCATTTCGCCCCGTTGCATTGGCCCCCCGTGTGTGTGCGCAGTGTGCTGCTCGGTGTGGTGCCCGTGCGTCATGGTGGGGCGCAACGCCGAGATCGTCACCGACGGCTTCACAGGTGACTCCACCGCTCCTTAACACACACCATTCTGACGTGTCGCACGCTAACTAGAGCCACCTCGCACCGCCAGGGCTCCGCCATTTAATCGAGTCGCTCTATTCCTCGCTCGTCGTTCCCCGCGCCCCGCAGACCCGTGCCGCGCGTGCATGGGGTGGGCGCTCCTCCAGCTCGCCTGCAGCGGCGCCTTCTTCGCTCGAGGTCAGCCTCCCCGCCCTCCACGCCGCCTTTCTCTCCCAGCGCTCTTTTCGCAGTTCCCTTTCTGTTTCAGCGTGTGATGTCGTCGACTGTCCGTACGACGTGCTTGTTCGTGTGCGCTGCCCCGCGCGCTGCAGATTTCCGCAAACGGCTGCGCGAGAAGTACATGCTACCGCAGCGGCCGTTCAGCGACTTCTGGATGCACTGCCTGTGCGCGTGCTGCGCCATCGCGCAGGAGCACCGCGAACTGCGCAACCGCGGATGGGACCCCGCGCTAGGTGCGTGCGTAGCATCGCATGATGTAACGTAACGAGCACCCAGTGTTTCTGCACTTATGGTCTCCGCACCCACTTGCACTCACACTAGATGTTTCTTTCGCTTCCTCTCGTGCCCCCTCAGGCTATGCGGGCAACGTGCGCAAGTTCCAGGCGTGCTCTCCGCCCCCCCAGATGGAAATGCTCGCCGACCAGTAGCAGATGAACCCTCTACTGCCCCTGTACACTAGCACTGCTCTCTCTCCTCGGTAGCCCAAAGTCCATTAGGTACTAGCCCGTCTTGCATCATATCTTGCTGTGCATATAGATGTATTTACATCTTTATTTTAAGCTACAACAAATCGCCTGTGCAACACGGAGTCCGATGGTTGCTTCTGAAGCTACCAGTACTGCCCCGCGCCCAGCATTACCGAGGCAACTTGCTACGCTGCTGTCAGCCACCAGTCACCACGCGCACTGCCGTGCATGCTCGCCCACAGGGTGCCACCGCGCCCGTCAGGAGATCCCGGCGGCACCTCCAGGGGCGGATGAGGCAGCTCCGGCCCTTCCGGCACATGCGGAGTGTCTGGGATCTCCGGGATGTCCGGCACCACGTCAGGCGGCGTCGGCACCTCCGGAATCTCGGGGGTTCGCTCCGGAGGCGGGTTGGGAATCTCGGGGATTTCGGGAATAATGTCAGGCGGGGTTGGGGATGGAACTTCGGGCGGGGGGAAGGGCGGAAGGTTTGGCGGAGGGGTTGGAGTTGGGGCTCCGGGGGGCGGGATGGGGACGGCTTCGGGGGGTGGCGAGGGCGGGGGGACCTCGGGGGGGGTGAGCGGGGGGACGTTGGGCATGGGGACGGGGGGCGCCCTAGGGACGATCTCGGGGCTCGCGGGCTGCCCTCCACCGCGACCCGGCACCTCCGTGGGGAGTTCGGGACCTCCGAAGACGTGGAGGCCTGTAATGCCACGCGCGCACTCCGCCGCTGATGGGTCGCGCGAATACTGCAACGGCGGGGACTGTAAGAGGGACGCATCCAGTGTGCATGCCCGTTTGCTGTGTGTTGACACGACTTGCACGCCCGCGCTGAGACCTGGGGAGAAGTTACGCGCGATTGAAGCGATTGATGGGGGGTGCAAGTCCGCCATGTGACAGAGGGGCCTGCCGAAGAAGAAAAGGAAATAAATAAAAAGAATACACATGAATAATTCGGCAGGTTTATACTAGAATCCAAAATTAATATCGATTCAAAAGACTTACACACGTACCTCGCCAAGGAAGAGCGGATGCACGTCCGCGCCATGGATGAGCAGAAAAGCGCCATGGAGTGGTGATGTGGGGCTATGGAACGCAGTGCGAAACGGAGACAGGAGTAAGTTGCTGTGGGTGTGACAATCGACTAATAGGGCGCTAATTTCTTGATGGGGAGGAATTCCACGAGGGATGCTCAATTCCAGAATTCCAACCAGGGATTGCTCTACTGGTTGTGCATGCCATGCGTGGGACGGAAATGCGTTGCGGATAAAGTGTACATCACAACCATTTGGCCACTTATTCCAACACGATTTTGTGCTGGAAAGGAAGCTCAAACAGGAGAGCACCTTACGCCGTCGTGAAGCCGGCAAAACAATATCAGAGCGAGGTTTCGATCCTCGGACCTGTGGGTTATGGGCCCACCACGCTTCCGCTGCGCCACTCTGATATTTTTCGTAAAAATCAAAACTATACAATTCGAAAACACACATCTCGCGCTAGCCCTTCTCACGTCGTCTTTCACCTTGAAGAGCATTTCAACTATGGCGGTGCGTGAAGACAATATCCCTTCGTCGCGTCGCACACCATCCCGTCTTCTCTTTCGCCGTCCTCTCTCCATGCTCATTCCGAGCTCGTCGTGTGCCACCCTTCCCCGCGCAGGCCGCGAAGATCCCGGTGGAGCTGCAGCTGGCGGCGGACGACGCGGCGTGGCTCGCCCAGATGGCCGCCACGCACGGGCTGCCCGACGCTGGTGCGTCGCGCCGCGCTGCCATGGGGAATCGAATAATGCATCGCATGGATGGAGGGATGGATGAGAAAGGAGGAAGCAACAGCGAGGGAACGGAAGGGGCGGGGTTGCCTGTATTGCTGATTCTGGGTGATTGATTGCGCGTTTGCAAACTCAACGACAGTCGCGAGCATGCGTAACCTTTACACCCCATCCTCCTCACACCCGCCCCTTCCCACACCCCTGACGTGCCGTGGCGCGCAGGCAAGGCGCTGCGCATCGTGCTGACGTACGCCAGGGACGAGAATCTGGGGGCTCTGGGCGGCAAGGAGGTACGGCCGCGGGGACATGCATAGGAGCCACGCCAAGCGCGCTGAGCCGCGTGGTGGGCTGCGTGCTGCGGGTTGCTCTGGCGGCCACTCACACACACCAGTCACTGTACCGGCTGTCCATGCTCCATATCCCATTGCATGTCATTCCATGCCACACCATGCCGTGCCATGCCATGCCATGCCATCTCGTCTCACTGCGCGCCATTGCAACGCGTGTGGTGGTGTGAGTGCCATGGCAGGCCATCCAGTCGCCCTCCGCATCGCTCGCCACCCACTCATTCGCCATCGAGTCTTTCGTGAGTCTCACCTGCCCTGCCCCCCTCCTGCCATGCCTGCCCCCCTCCTGCTGCACCTGCCGTGCCTGTCCACTCCCCTCGTGCTGCAGAGTCCTGTGCTCACATCAACTGTGTCTGTACTCGCTTGCACTGCCATCGTCTGTTCCATGCGCCCATGCCAAAGTACCTTTGCCTGTCCTCTTGTGTACAAGTCATGCCACCTTGCCATTGCCATCGCCCCCCGACGTTGCCATTCGCGAGCATCAGCATGAGGACGTTTTGAAGAGGATACAAGAAACTAACAACTGCGACAGCGTTAGTGAGGTATGCTGCCACGTGTCATGATGTGCTGCCTCGTGCTACTCTGTAACTGCCACGTGTCATGATGTGCTCGCACATGCCATGGTCAGCACTGACATGCTGTTGTGCGCCATCAGATGCCACAGCAGCCTGCACGGCACACTGTTGTGTCACTCCCTATCACCCACTCATCTCCACCCCCTCTCCACCACACCACCCCCACCACGCCTCTCTGTTCGCCCTGTGCCCGTGCTCTCTCTCGTGCAGGCGGTGCGGCTGTTGCTGCACCACGTGCAGGCAGCGGTGTCAGAGGCGATCCTCTTTGGCCTCGTGCGCTGCAAGCGCCCCCTCAACTGCACCTCCTGCCCCGCCCACGCCGCCGCCGCTGCTGCCAAGGTTGCACCCTCTGCTGCGCCTGCCGCTGCTGAGTAGGTGCCACCAGCAGGCGGGTTCAGGGCGTTTATTGCTTATTGCTGTAGGTCCAATGATATGCCTGCGAGCTGCTCTCTGTAGGCTTGCAGATGTGGCTTTCAGTGCTGGAGAAATGTAGCTTTCAGTGTTTAACTCTGTGTTTCAAAGAATGCAGAATTGGGTTGCTCATTTTACCGTAAGTCATCTGTGGTTGTGAGGCATGAGTGCAGGCATTAGTGCGCACAGCAGGGCAGGCAGGCAGCAGCATGGATGTGAAGCAGGAAGGCAATGCTGGTGCTCTAGAGAGAGGCAACATGGTGATGCTGTGAAGGCAGTAAAACCATGTATGGCGATTGTGGCAGTGGACTGTGCTAGTTCAGCGCTAGCGCAACCCTCACAGTGCTGTGTACACAAGGGGACACAGAAGTAACAATGGAATGGAATGCCCGTGCTACCCACAGTATCTGCATGCCTCAACCTGCTCCTCACCTCCCATTCGCAGCACATCTCCCACATCCCAATGTGATGCTTTGCAAGCAACTGGAATGTATCGCTGTGAAAAACCGCACAACAGTGCTTCGTATTGAGCTCCAGGCTCAAGCAACTGTACTACTGTAGTAAAGTTGGTTCTACCGTAAATGTTCTCCAGCTGTCTCCTGAATCCATATGAACGGTTTGCTATTGTAGCATTCCCGCTCCCACCACCCACCCCCCATCAGCCATCATCCCTCGCGCCCCACAGCAGGGCGCTCCCACTCGCCCTCTGCCTCGCCCCCTCGCTGCACTGCAGTGCCGCCCGCAAGCGGCAGGTCTTGTCTGAAAGAATCAAATCCCAAGCCGCCCAGCACCGGCACCCCTCCGCTCCTCCCCGCTGCAAACCGCTGCCTCTTCTCTTCCATACTCACAACGCTCCCTCCCTCATCCCCACAATTACTCCCACCCTCTGTGCCTGTGCCTGTAATAGTGCTGTCACCTGACTCTGCACCACTGCCGCCCCTTCTCTCCCCACCCTCCCCTCCTTCAAAACGTCCCACTGCCCCCACTGCTTCACCATCAGCCACACCAGCAGCACCACCCACCACCTCAGATCGCTCGCCCTTTTCCGGCAGTGAGGAGTGGCCGGCGGTGCTGTTGGGCGGCGGGAACTGGGCGGCAACACCACAAAGCTGTGCGAGGTGGCGGACGGCGGAGAGGATTGAGGGGTGGCAGGGGAGGGTTGTGGGCGGCAGGGGTGGGTGGCAGTGGGGATGGAAGGCTGGGCGGGCGGCGTAGGAGACATGCAGTGAGAGCACTGCACGTGCAAAGATGAACCTGAGAGCGGGAGCGTGATGGGGAGGAGAGATGGGATAGAGAGAAGGAAAAAGGGTTAGAAAGGGAGTGAGTGGGGGAGGGACAGGTTGGAGCAGTGAGGCTGATGCGATGGCACGCATGTGAAAGTAGGGTGTGATGGCAGAGCATGGCGGGGTGAGGGCATGGCAGGGGGGAGTGGCAGGGACCTGAGGAGGAAGAGGCGCAGGAAGGGGTCAAGCAGCAGGCGCGCCCAGGCCAGGGGCAGCGTGGGGCAGGCAGCGAGCGATGTGCCCCACTGCGACAGCAGCATTGCTAGTTGCCTCTCCCACCCCATGTACTGCTCCTGATGGGGTGGCGTGGTGAAGGGATGCACATGGGGACAGGAACAACGGGAAACAGGGAGGGGGATGAGACAAGGGGGGTTGGTTGGAAGTTGAAGTGGGCACACGCAGTGGCTTGGGAATACCAGCAGCAGTACCTCGGAATTACCGGCAGCAGCAGTACCTTGGGAATGTCGGGCAGGGGCACGGCAGTGAGGCGGCAGAAGGCCTGCAGAGGGGCGGTGAGGAAGAGCGTGAAGAGATTGCCGCCCGCCAGGTGCGTGGCCGTGGCGAGGGAGGCGGCGGGCGCTGCAGCGGAGGTGGGGGAGGAGGAGGGGAGTTCAGACGTGGGGGCAGCAGACGGTGCAGTGGAGGGGATAGAAGCAGTGGCAGTATTGACAGCAGCCGGAGGCTCTGCTGCCGTGTCAGCAACAGCCGAGGCGGATTGAGAGGAGGGAGGGACGGTGCCACCAGCATTGGTTGCGGCAGGAGTGGTGGCAGTGGTGGAGGAAGGTTGAGAGGGGCGGGGAGCGGTGCTGATGTCGGGCTGCAGGCGGGGCGAGAGCAGCATGGCGCACGGCTCTCCTCGCTCCCTGCCACCCAGCCACTGGCAGTTCCGAGGACAGAGCGCACGGGGACGGGGAGTGGAGATGCGGGGGGGGTAGTAGTAAGGACGGGTGCACACGCAGGGAGCAGTGCGGCGATGCAGGCATGGAGGCACTGGGTCAAGCATGGCTCTCACATCAGGCAGTGGGGCAGAATGGAGTGAGTCAAGCAGGCACGCGCGGTACACAGCACAGCGTGTGGATGAATGAGTGTCCGTCACCTGCAGGATTGTCACACCCACCTGGAAGGCAGTGCTATTGTCACACCCACCTGGAAGGCAGCGCTATTGTCACACCCACCTGGAAGGCAGTGCTATTGTCACACCCACCTGGAAGGCAGCGCTATTGTCACACCCACCTGGAAGGCAGCGCTATTGTCACACCCACCTGGAAGGCAGCGCTATTGTCACACCCACCTGGAAGGCAGCGCTATTGTCACACCCACCTGGAAGGCAGCGCTATTGTCACTGTCGACAATGAGCACGAGTGGGCGGCGGGTGAAGGGCACGATGTCAGCCGGCAGCAGACAGCACATGCTCGCCGCCTCGCCCTCCCCCCTCGCCCTCACCCACACGCCCCCTCCCGCCACGCCCCCATCCCCCTCGCCCCCGTGTGCCTGCTCCCCCTCATGCGCCCCGCCACCGCCTTCAGAGTCAACGGCCCCACTGCACGCACTGCTGCTGTCCGCTCTGCCCTCTGTGCTGCCACCAGCGCCACCCTCTGCTGCCTCTGCCGTCGCTGCTGCTGCAGCAGGGGCGCCACCCACGGCAGCTGCCTCTGGCGCCACGGCAGCACTGCTGGCAGCAGCAGTGGAGGCAGCAGGAGATTGCGAGGAGGAGGCAAGGGCGGGGGCAGCAGTGGGGGCGAGGGAGCCGGCAGCAGAGAGGTAGAGCAGCAGGGCGGCATCAGCAGGCAGCTCCTCCACTGCCGTTGCCAGCACCATGAGCAGGTGCGGCACGGACGGGCGGTGCAGCACGTACTTATGCGGGTTGGGCGGCAGGCTCGGATCCACCACGTTCTCCTCCGCGCCACCCACCAGCCGCGGCCCCTCGCCGCCCCCGCCGCCCGCGCCGCCCGTGGCGGTGAAGCCCTGCGTGGCGACGCCGCCTTGCTTGGAGGGCAGGAAGAAACCCGAGGGCAGCCACTCCACCGCCTGTAGCATGCGGAAGGCGTCCAGTGTGACCTCGCTCAGCTTGACCTGTGCGCATGGGGGGGAGACGAGGAGCAGAGAGAGAGGCTTTAGCAGCAACAGCAGGGACAGAAGGAGGGAGGGCAGGGAGCGTTGGGGGGGGGGAGGAGGAGGAGTGGAGACGAGGAACAGGCACAAGGTAAGGATGGGCGAGAGCGAGAAGAGGCGTGCAGTGCAGGGAAAGAGGAGGAGAGCCGCAGCAAAGACCGGCAGTGGCGCCCTCCCCCTAGCTCATTTTGGTGGCGCCCTCCCCCTAGCTCATTTTGGTGGCGCCCTCCCCCTAGCTCATTTTGGTGGCGCCCTCCCCCTAGCTCATTTTGGTGGCGCCCCCCTTGAAGGATGTTGGTATCCCCCCCTCCCCCCCTCCCCTCCCCCGCTCCCCTCCAAAACACACCTCGAGGGGATAGAAGCTGGTGAGAACGACCTCCTGCAGGGAGAGCGCGCGCGGGGCGGCGGGCAGCATGAGGGCGGCGACGGGGGGGAGGGCGCCGGGGGGCGGGTCGAGCAGCACGCTGTAGCGCAGCGGGCGCGGGCAGTCGGACGGCCAGTCGGCGCGCAGGAAGCGCACCGCCTCGTGCACCACGCCCTTCCACTCCGCTGCATCTGATGCCTGGTGGGGGGGAAGGGGGAGGGGGAGGGGCGGGTGGGTGCGGGAGATGGGGGGAATGGAATGGGGAAAAGGGTGGTGGGGTGACGGGTATGGTGACCATGTGGCATGGCATGGAGGCACAACGAGTGAGAGCGTGCGATGCGCAGGGAGGCAGCAGCACCATGCGTGGTCAGCAAAACACGCACATGCATGGCATGCGGAAGGCACGTGCACGGCAAGCAACAGGCACGCGCCGGGGCAGGCGGGCGGCGAGCGAGGGGGCAGTGGCACCTGGAAGGAGCGCGAGTAGTCATCGACTGCCATGCGCAGCTGCCAGAGCAGGTGAGGAAACAAGCATGGTTACCGCGCACAGAGGGGCGAGGGGCGCACCTGGAAGGAGCGGGAGTAGTCATCGACGGCCATGCGCAGCTGCCAGAGCAGGTGGCGCAGCATGTCCCGCCGCCCCAGCAGCACACACACCACTGTGAACCGCGCCAGCCACCGCAGCTGCTTGTGCGCCACCGCCGCCTCGCTGCGCGCCGCCTCTCTGAAATACTCGCGCCTGCACGAGGGGAGACAAAGTGAGGCGGGAAGACAGGCGGGAGGAGTAGGCAGGCGGAAGGGGAGAGACTGGGAGGGGAAGCATTAGAGTCACACCTGTGAATGGCATTAGAGTCACACCTGTGAATGGCATCAGAGTCACACCTGTGAATGGCATCAGAGTCACACCTGTGAATGGCATCAGAGTCACACCTGTGAATGGCATCAGAGTCACACCTGTGAATGGCATCAGAGTCACACCTGTGAATGGCATCAGAGTCACACCTGTGAATGGCATCAGAGTCACACCTGTGAATGGCATCAGAGTCACACCTGTGAATGGCATCAGAGTCACACCTGTGAATGGCATCAGAGTCACACCTGTGAATGGCACTACAGTCACACCTGTGAATGGCATTACAGTCACACCTGTGAATGGCATCGTTATAGTCACACCTGTGAATGGCGTCGTAGAATATGAACGCCTCTAGCAGGTAGCTCGCGTCGCCCGTGCGCAGATAGTAGTTGTAGTATAGCTGCCCTATGCGCGACGCGATCTCACCGATCTCCCACCGCCTGCCCGCCAATCGCGGCGCGATAAACGGCAGAGAGGGTAATGCAGACGAGAAGGGAGGGATTGTGACGCGGACACAGGCGGAAACGAGGATTATCGCGAGAATGGGAGGCGGAATCGCGAGAATGGGAGGCGGAATCGCGATGGCGGCCAGCGCGGCGCGGCACGTACTTGAGGCCCATCTCGACGAGGCGCGCGCGGTGCTCTTGCTGGAAGCGCCAGAGGCGCGAGTAGACGCTGAAGGCCTTGTGGAAGTGCGCCTCCCACCGCTGCCGCCCGTACAGCGGCAGCTCGCGCAGCCGCGCAAACTTCCCGTACGCCTTCTCCAGCAGCGCGCGGTACTGCTCCGCCATCGCCGCGCTCGATGCGCCCGCGCTCGTCACAGGCGCGCTCGATACAGGCGCGCCTGCTGCAGGGGCAGTGGCGGCGGCGGAAGAGGAATGCGGCATGGCGGCGGAGGGAGCGGGCGCGGAAGGAGCTTCTAGGGGAACGGGGGGCGCGGGGGGGTCGTTGCTTGGAGCGGAAGGAGATTCGGTGGAGTCTGGGGCATGTGCGGTTTGGGCATCGTGATCAGGCTTCGCAGGATTTGGCGGCGACGAATGCGGCATGGCAGCAAGTGGTGAGATGTGATGAGGTGTGGATTCAGGAAGCCATGTGGAAGGTTGGTGGGAAGAGCGCTCGACCGCAGTTTGTTGGCAAACAGACTTCAGGCTCATTAAAGCGAACAGGATAACAATAAAAGATTGCTTATGATACATCGGGAGCTTTTTGTCCAAGCCATCTCCGAGGCAATAAATTACTGAAGCACTGCAAGGGGCACAATCAAGCACTCAATCCCCGCAAATGCCTCAGAGAAGGTCAGTATTGGGCACTGGGCTTCCAGAAAGAGAGAGAGAGAGAGAGAGAGAGAGAGAGAGAGAGAGAGAGAGAGAGAGAGAGAGAGAGAGAGAGAGAGAGAGAGAGAGAGAGAGAGAGAGAGAGAGAGAGAGAGAGAGAGAGAGAGGGCTTAGAGCGGTGAAGGGCGGTTGAGGGAAAGAAAGCAGATAAAGATGGAATGCGGGCCTGGGGGCCGCCAGATCAAACAAAACGAAACAATGGCTGCAGCAGCGATAACTTCCGCTGCGACTGTGTGTGTGTGTGTGTGTGTGTGTGAGAGAGAGAGAGAGAGAGAGAGAGAGAGAGAGAGAGAGAGAGAGAGAGAGAGAGAGAGAGAGAGAGAGAGAGTCAGCTGAATTCCAGGCGGCACCACGGGTCCTGTCGCCTCCAGGCGCCACCTATCCCACGAGAATATATTTATCTCTACGCCTCTATCGCGCATGGTGCAGAGAAGCGCCTCAGATCTGGACAGTCGTCGGCGCAACCTTGCCCGACTCCACCCGCTGCAGAGAGCCCACCCGCCCGCTCGCCCCCTCTGCGCCTGCGCTCAAGCTCCCGCGCACGGCGCAATGTCCGCGGGTCCTCCGCGGGCTGCCGCGTTCCCCCAAATACGCCCTTCCCCAGGGCGAGCTCGCCCATTTCGACTCCGCCGAGCGCGGCTGGTACCCGTCGAAGCTCAGGCACCGCGGCACGCCCGTCGGCCCTTGCTGACGGATCGCCGGCTCCGCTGCCGCGTGGCCGTCAAAAGGGCCGCGGAGGAAGTCGGCTGCTGGCCACGGAGACTGTGAGTCGCCGGGGGACCGCTGCTCTGCCGCATTTCCCGCATCCAGCGGCAGGACTGACGGCAGTGAGTCCATGGTCGCTGCGCGCTCCGTGGAAGCTCGGCGCAAACCGCGTCCGTTGGAGGCTTGGGCTCCCCGCGGTCGTTCCGCGTCGTCCCCCTTTGGGCTGCGCCGCGGGACCGCCCATGGCGGTGTCTGGCGTGGGAAACGGGAGAAGAGGCGGGACGAGCGCGAGCGAGAGACAGGGAAGCGAGGAGGCGGATGAGACACGCCGATCACGACATGGAGACGAGACGACCTGAGCCAATACGCGACGCCGCGAGATGCGATGACACGAAACAAGCGGAGACAGAGCATACCTGGAGTGGAGTTGGAGGTTTGTGTGAGAGTGGACCCGCCATAGTGGCGATTCGCGTCAAGGCTCACAGGGAGGGTGGCGCCGCGAGAGAGCTATAAGGGAGCAGGATACTGGTTGACTCACAGAGAAGTACAGGGAACCCTAGAAAGGCAGTGAATGGGACGTGCTAGTCGTGTGCGGGCGGAGCAGACTTGGAAGGGTTGAATAGCGTGGTGTGGTGGTGGAGATGGGGCGAGGTGGGGCGAGGGAAGGGGAATGGAGGTGGTGGTGTCGCCCGCCTCACTGGATGCCGCATGAATCCGATTGCTGGCGGCGACACCTCGCCTAGATTACACGCCACGTTGCGCCAGCCCTCACCTCAGCAAGGAGCAGCAATCGCATCTGTCGCACAACTTGGTGTTTTCTAACCGAAGATGGAGGTTCGGGTCCACCGTCTCTGTTTCACTGGAATTCGACCTCAACTACAGTACAGCACAAAAGCCCGCGACAATGGTACGGGACGGGACCACTCTCCTAGCGAGGTAACGCTTTCATCTCTCGGGCAGTTTTGTTCTGGATCCGACCTTGAGCGCACTCCCCTTTGACTCGGACTCGACCCTTACCCCCGGTGGAGCCTGGCTGGTCTGGACGCCCAACCGCGCAGCCTTCTGTCGCACACTCGCAGACCCACTCGGCGACGGGGAAAAGGTCCCTTAGCGATCTGCCGAAGCAAGAATGGTACAGTACAGAGATCCAGCAGGTTTCCCTTCCGCTTTTTGTCGTTTCCACAGCACACGCTGCAGAAGGGACCCAGTCAACATGCTGCAGTTGAGGAAAATAATTATACACGCGGATATGCTTACAACGCATGTGTTTAGAAATTGCAAGTCAGTTCAATTAAATCCTTGATAATGCTGCCATGTACCGTACCTTACTTATGATGCCCCTAGTCAGCATGGATACTCCGACCAACAGCACCATTCTCACCACAGAAGTTTCCAGAGCACCCATCAACAGTTGCTGCTATGTCAGATGGTTGGCTACTTGGCTCACAAGGGATGACAGATCAAGAGGCTCATAGCATAACTAACAGAAATTCTGTACAACATTCCTTGGCAGGCGCAAGGAAACAAAAACGCCGCTAAGGAAATCTACTCAAACGTCAAGTGCTGCGCATTAACCAGTGTGGCATAAGCACCCCCCTGTGCCACGAGCTGGGCGTGTGTCCCCCTCTCTACAAGCCGGCCGGCCGCCATCACCACGATCTGATCTGCTGCCTGCACCGTGCTCAGCCGATGCGCTATCACCAGCGTCGTGCGGCCCTGGGAAAGGGGGTAAAGGGAGAGAGGGCATGTGTGTGATGCATGGTTTCGGAACACGCACATCCAGGCCACTCAAAAAACAAGCACATGAGCCGTGGCTCTCAAACTCGCTGCATCCCTTGCCCCACCATCACCTAATACTCCCTCCCCTCACCTGCATGAGCCCCTCCAGTGCCTGCTGCACGAGTCGCTCCGACACGCTGTCGAGTGCACTCGTGGCCTCGTCCAGAATCAGAATCGGCGCGTCCTTCAGTATCGCTCGCGCTATTGCGAGACGCTGCCAGGGGAAAATGGGAGAGGGGAGAGGTGAATCGAGAAGCACAATTCAAGCACATGTATGTGCACGAGAGCATACAGTAGGAATCAGGTGCGCATGGGAGCAGATGGCATGGACTTGCAGGGAGGTTCGGGATGGGTGGGTGCAGGGTGTGTGGCACAAGGCAGGCAACACAATACCTCCCAGTAGTGCGAGCACAAGGCAATGAAAGCAAGTTTTTCCGTGCTGCAGGGATACGGCGGGTGAGAGCAGCAGCGTGGATGGGTGGGTGGCAGCTCACCTGCCTCTGGCCGCCGCTGAGCAGCCCACCCCTCTCCCCCACCATCGTGTCGTACCCCTGCCATGCTCACAGCACGGGCGGGTGCGGGGGAGGGAAAGGAGGGAGGGTGAGCGGAGGAGTGGCAGTGAGGGAGGTGGAGTTTTCTAAGAAGCGCGCGTGGATGCGGGATGATATGGCGGACGATGGAGAGAAATGGTACAAAACAGCAACGAATGTGCGCAGTGTCATGCGCATGAGTGGGCATGGAAAGATACAGCATGGAATGGCAAGAGCAAGCATGGCATGGCAAGGAAAGAGCATGGCGCACCTGGGGCAGCTTCACTATGAACTCATGGGCGTTGGCCGCCTTGGCAGCCCTGATGACGTCAGCCTCTGCCACGTCAGCGTCTGGGAGGCCATAGGCAATGTTGTCGCGCACGGACATGGCGAAGAGCACGGGCTCCTGGCTCACGAGGGAGACTGCGCGCGTCCACTGCGTGCGGTCGAATGATGCTATGTCCTCGCCCGCCAGTGATACCGTGCCCGCTACCGGCTGGTGCCACAGCCATGCACGCACACAAACACACAGGGGCAGTGAATGGGGGAGGGATGAGAAAGGCACGGAGAGAAAAAAGGCGAGAGGAAAGGAGGAAAGGGAAGGAAACCAAACGAGTCCGTGCTTTGCAGGCAGCAGCACATAACCAGGAGCAGCATGGTCTCTCTCCTCTATCCACGGCATGTGCATGGAGCATGGGCCATGGCGGCACATGCAGGGAGGGAGGAGCTGTGATGTGACCCATGGCACCGCACCACATCGCAGCGCACCTCATAGAACCTGGAGAGCAGCTGCACGACGGTGGACTTGCCCGCGCCACTGCCGCCCACGAGCGCTGTGACAGTGCCACGTGGCAGCACGAGATTGATGCCCTTTATCACCTCCACTGCCGCCCGCTGCGGATACGCAAAGCGCACGTCTGTGGGCGAGGGAAGGAGGGAAGGGGGAGGACGTGGTTGAGGAGAGAGAGCAATTGGACAGGAGGAAGGAGAGCTGGAGGGGTGTGTGACACAGAGAGTGGAGGAACGGGGTTAGGGAAGCGACAATGAGAGTGGGGGTTGCATGCATGTATGAAGTGATGGTGATCAGCTGATAGCCGCGTGAAATCAGAGTGTTATTGAGACGACTCACAAACACTCTTATTTCACAGGGCATGGCAAAGTCAACCTACCTCTGAACTCAATGTCGCCCGTCCATGCCAGCTCACACGCCGACAACCCCTTCCCGCCCCCCACCACCGCTCCATTCCCTCTCTGCACCGCAATCAGCCCCTCCTTTTCCTCCGCTTCTCCCACCACCCCCACGGCCGCCGGCTCGGGGCAAGGGGTGGAGGGGGGAAGCGGCACGGAGAGGTCCGGGAGCGGTTCGGGGATGGAGAGGTTGGGTTCGGGGGGCGAGGCGGAGAGGAGGGCGTTGATGCGCGCCACTGCAGAGAGCGCGTTCTGCACGTCCGCCATGGTGTTCACCAGCCCCTGGATCTGTTGGGTTGGGGAGGGTTGACAGGGGGGAGGGGAAGGAGAAGGGTAGGTTCAGGCATGAATGGTGTAAAGGCGAGCAGGCATGTTGCAGCGAGGGCGTTCTGCACGTCCGCCATTGTGTTCACAAGTCCCTGGATCTGCGGACGGGGAGGGGGGGGGAAGGGGAGGGGGAAGGGGGAAGGGGGAAAGAAGGGGAGGGGCTGAGGGTGATGCGTGCAGAGAGCGCGTCCTGCACATCCGCCATTGTGCTCACGAGCCCCTGGATCCGCGGAAGGGGAGGGGAAGGGGGGGGGGGGGGAGGGATGGTGGAAGGCATGGTGTGGTGCAAGCAACAGCATGCGGGCATGGATTCAAGGCCTGAATGGCTGTGACTGGAATGAGCAGCGTCTGGATATGTATGGAGTAAGTGTAAGGGGGAGGGAGAGGAGGGACGCTGGCATGCGCGGTGCCATAGCATGGCATGCAGACATAGAGGCATGAATTAGGGTTCCGAGCCGGTGGAGGGCGGCATGCAGTGCCTTTCACAGGCAGGGGCACTCAAGCATGCATGCACGAGGCCAAGGGAGGGGGGCGGTGGAGGGGGGGGGGATGTGCTGGGCAGGCAGTGGAACGACCGTGCGGCAAACACAAGAGACAGCTTGCAACGAGGATGGCAGGGGCTGGGAGGACGGAGGGGAGCAGAGGGGAGAGGAATGGAGGGGGGGGGGGGGGGGGGTGGGGGGGAGAGGAGGGGAGGGGAGGGGCTTACAGCGAAGGTGAGGAGGAAGGTGTAGCCCACGAACGCCAGCACCGTGCCCGCTGCCATCCCTCCCTGCTCCGCATGACATGCGGGATGGCGATTGCGGGGGGATGGGGTGAGATGGGTGCATGGGATGGGTGGATTGAGTTGATGGGATGGCATGAGGTGCTGGGGTGAAATGGGAGCATGGCAGTGAAGGTGGCATGGGAAGCAGGGACGCCTCGGTATGATTCGATAAGAATGGATCAAGTGGCCAAGCGCGGTGCTGCAGAGCACCGACCAGCACACACGCTTCAACTCCGCCTCACTAATCCACTGCTGCTGCTCCACCCCGCACCCTCCCTCCGCTCTCCCCCCCCCCTCCCCCCCACTGTCTCCAGCTCCCCAATGCGCTAACTCCCTCATCATCCCCGAAATGCACCCCCCAGCTTCCCCCCTTCCCCCCTCCCCTCTTCCCCTTCGCCTCATACCCCCATGTGGCATGAGCAGTACGCACCATTTGGACCTTGTGCCCGCCCAGGATGTAGACACACATGAGGGAGATGTATACGCAGCCACGTGTCAGCGCCTCGTTGGTCGACTTGAGCACACTCAGCCGCGTGCCCGTCTCCCGCGCCTCTGCCACGTGGCCTGCGAACCGCCCCAGCTGCCGCGCCTCACCTCCAAACGACCGTACCTGGGGGACAAAGAGAAGAGACGGGTGAGGGTACGGGGTTTTGAAGGATTTGGAGAAGGGAGCGGGGGGGAATGAAAGAGGGGAGGAGAGGAAAGGAGTGGGCATACATGAAATGAAACCATGGACGACACGTGAATACGCCTGCTCGGTTGTGTTGTGTAAACTAGCGCCTGACCTCATTGAACCCCAGCTGCCTCCACGCACTCAGCACCTCAATAATCGGCGCGAGAAGCAGGCAGGGGGGGCGAGAGGGGCACGGAGCTCACGGTGCGGATGGCTTGGAAGGTCTCGGTGGCGGAGTCGGTGATGCGCGCCTGGGTGGCGGTGCTGCGCGCGAACACGGGCAGCGTGCCGCGCTTGTAGATGCCCGCGATGAGCGAGATGCCCACCGCCAGCAGCGAAAACACCGGCGCTAGGTCCGGCGCTATGACGAACAGGATCGCCAGCGTCGACACCACCTGCCGGGTGTTACGGGGAGGGGCGGGGAGGAGTGGTGTGTGGGGGCGAGAGAAGGGGGTTGGCGATAGCATGGACTTGGAGGTATCAATGGTGGCGCGTGGCAGTGACGGGAGGGGGAGCATGGGGGTGCGCGTGTGGGATGTCGGTGACTGAGCTGGCGGAGGCATCGCTCGCTCTATGCGCATCTCTCTGCGCTCTCGCTTCTCTGCGCTCTCGCTTCGCTGCGCTCTCGCTTCTCTGCGCGTTCCTCTTTACCCGCGCTCTGGTTTCTCACCTCGCATATGGAGCGGAGGCCGCGGTCGCGCGTGACGTTGTCGGTGACGGCCTTGTCCATGAACGCCAGCTCCGACGACAGCACGCCGCTCAGCGCCGCCACCTTGTGCGCGTCGTAGAACGCCACCTGCGCCCACCGCGCGGTGCGCGGGGAGGATTGAAAGGGGGGAAGGGGAGCGGAGGGGATGCGGGGGACGAGGATAGCCGCAGGAGGGAATGATGACAAATAAGGCGACAATTTAAGAAAGAAAGGAGCTTTTGAGTTTCCATTTTCTGTTTTCGTGGCGACTCTGTTCTTGGTGAGCGCGGCGCACTTTAAATTGTTGATTTTTTTAACGTACCTTCTGCAGCAGCAGGCGGCGGAAGACGCGGACCCTGACGGCGGCCATGACGGACTCCCACACGGCGGAGAGCGACGACACGAACAGCAGCGTGGCCGCCGGCTCCAGCACGTAGATCGCCGCAATCGGTAGCAGCAGCTGCGCCAGCGGCACGGGCACGGGCGCCACGAGCGCCTGCACGAAGTTACCGTTGATGCGCGGCAGCACCACGTTGCACGTCGTCCCCGCGATGAGACCCACGGCGAGCCCCACCAGCCGCAGTTTGTGCCGCAGCACCAGACCAACCACGAGCTGCCACGTAATCACTGGCGACGCCGCCTGCTGTTCTTTCCGCGGCTCCTCTGCGCGTGAATCGCGCAAATCGTCCACCGCGGGTTCTTTCTCTTCGCTGCTAAACTCCTGCGCGCTACAATACCCGTCCTCCGCCTCCCCCTCGCACTCCTCTTCCTCCGCCACGACTAGCGACGCGGCCCCATTTCCTTCGACAGCGGCTTGAGAAGCAAGCCGCCCTGGTCTTAATTTGGCACGGAATTGTGTAAGGTAAGGGAAACGAGAGCTCGAATCACGCCCTAAACAGGCACGTTGTCGTGGCCTCGCTGAAAACGCGTGCCTTTGCCTTTGCGTTGCATAAGTACTCACGGGGTTGTCCGTTACTAAGCTATGGTGTACAAGTGCTCGTCTCGACTCAGCGCCACGACAGGAGCTCAGCGCAGACGCAAGAGCCGGCCGAGCAACAGCGCTGGTGACAGCCATGGCCCGAATCGTCCCAGTTTCGCGAGGTTGGCACACTACTGCAGCGCCAAAGCCAAGAAAAGGACCAGCTTTCCTATGACCTGGCTCAAGACTACACCTGGCGCGAATAAACGAGTATTTCCCTCGTAATAGTCTATACTCCTGCGTCAGTGGTCGCGAGGAAGAGCCGCTCGGGCGAAATGCGGCGGCGAAACTCAGTTCTGCTGGACGAGAAGGACCATATGGCGGAAAAGGTTCCTAATCGCGTGCTTTTAGGTCAACTCTTGATACAACTCCGCCGTGGTACGTCGTGCACGGTGCAGAATGGACAAGAGAATCGGAGTTTCTCCTATAAAAAGTTTATGCCTGTGGTCCCTCTCGCGAGTTCGCAACTGTCTGGCGCGGGAGAAGACCTGGAGGTTTGTGGGGAGCAGGTGCGGTGCGGACAGCTTGGGCACTGCTTCTTGAATCCTGATTGGCCCTTGAGCGCCTCTTCGCCAGGGAGTGGACGCGAAGTACGCAGCGGCTGCTTCGGATTGTTGGCAGATATGCAATTTGGTGCATGCAGCAGGAAGGGGATGGAGGCGTGGCGATGGTGGGGCAGACAGCGAATATGGAGTGACGTGGGCGATCCGAGGTCGACAGCGTGGTGCAGCGTGACACCTTTTGGGGCTGGTATGGCCTTAGTGGCATGTGACGTGGCGCACAAGCACCTGCTCATCCACTCATGTGGTATACGCGAATTCAACAGATAGGGGATGGCGACGGTGACTCGACGAGTTTGCGAAGGCACTTTGCGATAGCACACGACGGCAAAAAATCCCGCAGCGAAAAGTGGAAAAGCGTCAATGATACGACAACCCTCACATCTCAAAGCCCTACAAACATTCCCAAGGTCAGATGTTCAGTCATCCCCTACGCAAGCGCCAGCAGTTTGTCAGATGTAATCATCCATTAGGGGGTGTCCGAAGTGAAACGTCGACATCCGCTGACATCCGTTTGGGGATGTCGATGAATATCAGCCCTCGGATCGGGGATTCCGACCGTCAGGATTCGCCGACATCCGCCGACATCCATCGACGTTTCACTTCGGACACGCCCTTATCTCATCACTTATGATACGGTATGCGACACTTGCTCTCGTCGACGCTAAGCTTATTGCCACGCGACGTCGCCCTATCGTCGCCGTATCATTTATTACCCTCAGTCGTCTTCATGCCAGTTCAGACGCGATCGTCCTTTCGCAGGACCTCGCCTCCAGAGTCCACGCAACCGCCATGCATCCCACCGCAAAAACCGCTCGCTGCCACGCGTCCAGCCACCAGCATCGACACCCCACTTGCTCGGCGTGCCTCTCTCGATGCCTATCGTCTCACATCGCCTCCGGTTTCCCGTAACTCGCGCTCCTCGATACGACAGCCAACTCGCTCAGCTCGGAGCGCCTCCAGCAGGGCACGCACGAGCTCTGCCGGACCGCTGACTCCGATTAGCGACATTGAGGATCTCGGGGGGGAGGTGCCACGTGGCGTGATGGGAGAAACACGTGACAGGGAGGGTGGGGAACTGGAGGCGCAAGAGTGGGTGCAGGCGAGTAGCGAGGAGGGGGGGTCTGATGAGTGCGAGGAGGGCGTGAATGACAAGGCAGCGACGCGACGGCGGAGAATAGCCGCGGGTACCGCGTCCAGGAGGAGTGGGACCGCGAAGAGATTAAAGGCGGAGTCAGGGAGGGGGAGCGGGAGAAAGACATCCAAGGAGGATTTGGAGATTAAGTACGGGTTCAGTGACGCGGAGGTCGTCGCGGCGCGATTCGCATTGATGGAATGGTACGACGCGAATAAGCGTGACCTGCCGTGGCGAGCGGCCGCAGTGAGCGAGCGGGCGGAGCAGATGGAAGAGGGGAGCAACGATATCAAGGAGGCGCGGGAGGCAGGGAGGAAGGAGCGCGGGGAGCAGGGTGCGCAGGAGGCGGGGGAGGCGCGGGAGGCGCGGGAGGCGCGGGAGGAGCGGGAGGAGCGAAGGGCGTACGGCGTGTGGGTGAGCGAGGTGATGCTGCAGCAGACGCGCGTGGGTGTGGTGGAGCCCTACTTCCGCCGCTGGCTGGCGCGCTGGCCCTCCCTGCCCTCCCTCGCCTCCGCCTCCCTCGAGGTCACTCCCCCTCCGCCCGCCGCCCCCCTCCCTCCGCTCCCTCCGTCTCCTTGTCTGTCTTGTGTTCCTGTGGCACCTGCCGTGTGCACTCCACTCACGCCCACTGCCGCCTGCCATGCTACATGCCACCCACTCCCCCACTCCCGTGTGCGTGCGCTCCATTGTTGCGCCTCCTCGTCTCGGCTCCCTTTGCCTGACCCCATCCCCACAGGAGGTGAACAGCATGTGGGCCGGCTTGGGCTACTACCGCCGCGCCAAGTACCTGCTGCAGGTGCACTCACGTCCGGCCTTGCTTCCTTGGATCAAGTACACCACCCAGATAATGCATGCATTCCCAGCCATAGCTGCCAGGCGCACACACATTCGGTCATACATCACGCACACATCCATCCAGCAGCACACTAGGTTGGCCTTGCTACTGCCAGGTGCGTGTGCCCATCTCCCTCTGTCTCTGTCTTTCTTTCGCCTCCCCTCCCACTCGTCCTCCTGCCCCCTGCTCGCCCTCTGGCAGGGAGCGCAGCACATACAGCAGCAGCACGGGGGGCGCATGCCGCGCACGGCCAGGGAGCTGCAGGCAGTGCCGGGCATCGGCCCTTACACCGCCGCTGCCGTCTCCTCCATCGCCTTCCGCCAGGTCTGCTGACTTGCCAAGGGGCAGGGGGCGGGGGGCATTGGGCAGGGGGCTGGGGGGGATGGGTAAGCAGGCAGGGCGAGGGTTTGTGGGGCATTTGGGGTTGCAGCGTTCCTAAGATTGTGTCCTAAGGCATCTGTTGGATCGGATTGATGAGAACAAAGAGACAGATTGGGATGGGGTGTTGAAGCATGTGTGTGCCTCGGTGAAGGTTGTGGATTCAGGGACGTTGGTGGGTGGGAGCAGTGACCTCTCATCCCTGCGCCACCATCCCGTGCACCTACTCCTCACGCCACTTCTGCACCACCCCTCGCGCGTATGCCTGCATGCAACCACCCCTCGCGCGTATGCCTGCATGCAACCACCCCTCGCGCGTATGCCTGCATGCAACCACCCCTCGCGCGTATGCCTGCATGCAACCACCCCTCGCGCGTATGCCTGCATGCAACCACCCCTCGCGCGTATGCCTGCATGCAACCACCCCTCGCGCGTATGCCTGCATGCAACCACCCCTCGCGCGTATGCCTGCATGCAACCACCCCTCGCACGTATGCCTGCATGCAACCACCCCTCGCGCGTATTCCCAACCCCCCCTCCCCCACCAGCCAGTGGCAGCGGTGGATGGCAATGTGATGCGCATCATGGCGCGCCTGAGAGCCGTGCCACTGCCCATGCATGAGAGCGCCGCCACCTCCCTCTTCTCCCACCTCGCCTCGCAACTGCTGCACCGCGCCCGCCCCGGGGACTTCAACCAGGTGGGCGCACTGGGTGGGCTGGTTGGGCCGTTGTTCAAGCACGCAGGCACGAGTGCCTATGTGTGCCTCGCCATGTCGACCCTGACCCTTTTCCCCATGCTGCACTCATCCTTTCACTCACTCAACCAATCGACCAATGAACGATTCACCCACCACTCACCACCCACTCACGCACGCCCCCAGCTCTTCTTCCACCCCACCAGGCGCTGATGGATCTGGGCTCCCTCGTGTGCGCGCCCTCCTCCCCCTCTTGCTCCTCCTGCCCCCTCTCGCCCCACTGCCGTGCCCTCGCACTGCAGCAGCAGGGGGCATGCAGGGGGGAGGGGAGTGAGGGACGAGAGGGCCAGGGGTTAGTGAGAGTGACGGACTTTCCTGTGCGCAAGGCCAAGGCAGCTCCCAGGGAGGAGTGGGTGGCCGTGTGTGTGGTGGAGAGGAGAGGTGCGGGGGCACCAGCACTAGCAGCATGGCAAGCATCAGAGGCATCAGCAGGTGTCTCGGCCAGAAAAGGCAGGCGCGCACACGGCACCTCCAGCGGCAACCAGGCTAGTAGTGAAGAACCTTCTCAGTACCTTCTGGTGCAGCGCCCGCCTACCGGGCTGCTGGCAGGGCTGTGGGAGTTTCCCTCTCTGGTTGTGGCCTCGGGCACAGGCAGGCCAGCAGAGGCGCAAAGGAGGCGGGCTGTGAAGCAGCTGCTGGGTCAGATGCTTCCTTGTGTGACTATAGAGGGGTCTGGACAGCTTAGCTCGGAGGGGATAATGCTGCAGGAGGGGGAGAATAAAGTGGAGGGGAGCAAGTGGCGGGTGATAGAGAAGCATGACGTGGGCGAGACTTTGCATATCTTCTCCCACATACACCAGCATATGCTCGTCGAGAGAATTGTGATTGTAGAAGGAGAGAAGGCAGGAGATCCGGTTATCTTGGAGTGCAACACAGGAAATGCAGTGGCCAGATTGAAAGGGAAGCAAGCTGGTTGCCTGGAGAATAATGAAGATGCATGCCTAGTACCAGCACATCAGCAATGGTGCTGGCGTAGTGCGATGGAAATTGGGAAATTGGGCCTCTCGAGTGGTGTCAGAAAGGTGAGCATGTCATTTTCTCCTCTTCACCGTTCCCCCCTATCTGGTCACAAAAGAGCCAACTTTTAAGTGTTTACTCTTCTCCCATGTTATCTTCCCTTTTGTGAAGGTGTGGGATATGCTTCAAGCTTTTACGCTATGAGCCTACCCATTGCGTCTTCTAACGCAGCTGCTTAGAACGAGACACTTCCAATAATCTGGCTTCATCATTTCGGGCAGTTTCGAGTGGTTCTCGTTGTGGTCCACGTGTATGATTGATAACCACCATGTAATTCGATATTTTTTTTAATGATGTGCAACTCACACGATTCGCTTCAACCAATCACGGAAGAACGGGAAATCTTCTCAACAACCGTGGATGATGGCAAATTTGTCCCTTTGTCGTGGGGTATGCACCCTCTCTCTCGCCAGACTGACATTGGCCATATTGACGGACCGGATATACTGACATCTGTGCGTCCAGAATGGTCCCAGAACGTACCATATAAGCACATTTGCCGCACTCAACCGTACGCAAACGCAAGTTTTCTTCCATAAAACGTCGTGTACCGTTCCCCTGGAGTGCATTTGCCCGCCACCTACCTGGCGTTCGGTTGCAAGCACCAGATCGCTAGGGTCCAAGCAACAGTACGCACTGTAGCCAGCGCTTCCCATTGTCAGTCTGGCGAGAGAGAGGGTGTAGATGCGAACGCTGCCAGCTGGCGAGCAGTTTGGATAGAGTCCCTTTCAGCCCTAACACCCTTGCTCTGTGGGTGAAACAAAGAACTGTCGAGCCAAACATGATGAGGGACATGATCACACCCGGCAACAAATTCTGTTTGACAGAGCTTCCGAGCTCCCTCCTACTAAACAAAAATTGTTTGAAAGAATTATTGTATGGGTGCTGGTTCAAAAGAATGTCTGTAGTTTGTTTTGTTTTTGCTGTTCTGTACCCTTTCCATGGGAGGTGTGATTTGGTGGAAGAAAAATGTGGTGATGGAGCAAAGCAGATATTCATCCATCGTACATTTTCAAGGGCTGCCTGCCGCACCGCGCTATGTTGCCTGCCATTCCTGCCAGTCTCCCCCCTGGCCGCATCCCCGCCATTCATCGCATGCACGCCTTCATCCCCCCATCCCCTTCACACAAATCCGCCATCCAGTTGCGAGTGAGGGTGAATGAATGGAGTGCTTGGTTGGCTGTCCAGCTGCCTTTCCGTTTTTCTCTACAACCGTACCCCACCACTTCTCATCCTTCTGAAGATCTATCTTATCTCTGTCGTGACATGAAGCAACCGCACCGCATCACAGCCTCACTCACATCACAGCCTTCCCAAGCCGATCCAGTATAGAACCCCCCTCCACCATTAGCAGGTTACTGTACTTTCTTCCTCGCCACTATCCACTCCATCCGATCCCTTCATCCCTTCCCCTCGGTGTGCTCCCACCAAGGAGCAGTGTCACTGGCTCCTGCCCAGCCAAATCCTCTCTTTTCCACTCGCATCGGCTGTCTGCGCCGATTACCAGCCATTCGCCGTTATTCGCGCACTCCGCCATGGCGCCCAGTTTCGGCCGTCCCTGGTTCGCCATTTTCAACACGAATCCCGTGCAGGCCAAAGAAGAGAAGGCCCCGATGCCGCCGTCGATCGATTTTCAGCCGTCGATTCGCGTGAGCCAGTTCGGCGGGAAGAGCCAGCGGCAGCTCGCAGGGGTCTCCAGCAGCCCGCTCGTGCAGGACCACGTCGCCGCCGTCGCAATGCGTGCCCGCCTCGAGATGCGCAAGGGACTGCCGCAGAGCACCGTGCGCCTCCTCGATCCTCCGACGATGTCGCTGTCAAGCTCCGCCCCCCGAACCAGTCTTCCGCCGGCGGCTTCCGCCACACTAACCCCCCCGCTCAGCGCCAACACTGAAGCCGTTTCCGGAAAGTCAAGCGCTACCAGTCAAAATGCTTCCGCCATTTCACCGGAACCTGTTGGGATGAGAAAAAATCCTTCCGCCAACCCTCCGCCGCTAACAATTCCCCCGCTCGCGCCGAGCCTATCCGCGCCCTTCACCCCCCACGGCTCGACCGCCATGCAGCCGCCCCACACGCCTGGATCGACGGTGGCAGCTCAGGCAACCGCAATCGCGCCAATGACGGCAGAATCAGATCTGGTGGCGGCGCCGCTCAAGGTGGCGGCGCAGTGGAGCCGAGAGGAGTGGCTGCTCGTGGTCCGCGCCGTGGAGGGCGGCGCGACAAGGTGCTTGAAATGCCCGAAGCAGTCCGATTCCATGGCCGCCGCAACACACGGCGCCATCCATCTCATCCAAAGCCTTAAAACGACAACTGCCGCTTCGACGCCAGGTGTGAACCCGGCCTCGAATCCAGGCTCGGCGAAAGGCTCGGGATCCGGTCCGGAGCAGTTTTCATGCCCTGCCGCTCCCGCGGCAGTCGTCCCGAGAGTGGAGATTCCCTCCTCGCCGTCGCGGCGTAATCTGTTCTACACCACGTCATCAGGGTCATCTGATGACACCACATTCGTCGATGATTCCGCCACGCTGGCGAGTCGAACCTCGACCGGCTCCGCGTCGAATTCCGACGACGACAACACCGTCAACGTCGCGACGCGATACGGCAGCTACAGCAGTTTCAACAATAGCAGCATCAAGGGCGCTACGGCAGCTCAGGCGCTGTCCACGTTGATGCTTCCGAGCCCCTCCGGTTGCCCCCGCACGCCCTTCTCGCATCTCACGCCCCCGTCGCCCGCGAACCAGCTAGCCGTCTCTTCCCGCGGCCTGCCGGCAGGCAGCATGATCTTGCCCAGCCGAGCTGACGCGTCGGAGGAGCTCCCAGCGTGTCCGTTCCTCAGCCACTCCGCGCGCTACAGCAGCTACGAGACAAAAGACGCCGGCCGCGCGGCCGAGCCTCCCTCACTGGCAGTCCCGCGGACAATGCCGTTCGGCGACATGACGACGCGCCGCAGCGCCGACGCGTCTCTCCCAGTGCGATCCGCGACGGCGGGCTCGGTGAGCGCAGCCGGCGCACGCGGAACGCTAAGCGGAGCGAGCATGGGGATGAGCGCGAGCGGCGTGCAGGTGGACGCGATGAACCGCAAGCTGCTGACGGTGATCACCAAAACGCACGAGATCTTCTCGCGCGATCTCACTCCCAACGGCTCGCAGGTCGCCGATTACCTCCTCTCGCAGCTGCTCGAGCTCACGCAGTCCGAGTCGGGCTTCATCGCCAGCGCGCTGAAGCGCGCCGATGGGTCGCTGTACCTCAAGACGCACTCGATCACAAACCTCGCGTGGAACCGCGACCTGCGCGCGTGGTACACGGAAAACGCGCCGAAAGGGCTCGTGTTCGGCAATCTCAAGACCATCTTCGGCCGCGTCGTGACGTCCGCTGACGTGGTCATCAGCAACGACGTGCCCAACGATCCGCGCGCGTCGGGACAAGGCGTGCCGCCCGGGCACCCGGTGATGCGTAGCTTCCTGGGCGTTCCCTTGTTTTCCGGGCCAGACCTGGTGGGAATCTACGCGGTGTCGAACCGCGAAGGGGGCTATAACGAGGGGCTGCTGATGAGCATCCAGCCCGTGACTAAAACGGTGGCGCAGGTGGTGGTGGGCGTGCAGCAGCGGCGCAAGAAGTGGGAGGCGGAGGAGCGACTCAACGACATGCTCGAGGTGAGGGCTCCGCGGAGGTGCTGTGCGCGCATGTGCGGGATGGGAGGGGGAAGGCGGAGGGAGGACAAATAGCCGCTTGATTGTTTGCTCTTGTCCGCATCGTTTCCAGCCAAACAGCCATCCGCTCAACTAAATTCCCGAGTTTTTCCCATCTCCCCACTCCCCTCCTCCACTGATTCAATGACCTACCAGGCGACACAGCATGCAATGGTGGCGGTGTCGGCGGACGGCAAGCTCACGTGCGCCAACCGTGCAGCACGCATGCTCTTTGCCCTGGAGAGCAGCACGGAGGGCGACGGCGATGGGACAGGTGGCAAGCTGCCATTGGGGCTGACTCTTGCGGATGTGTTGGTCAGCATCGATGGCAATGATGACTACATGCAGCGAGGTAGGTTTGCTGCCCATTCCAGCTGTGCAGCACGCCCCTCCCTCTTCTGCCAACGCCCCCCCTCTCTTGCCCCGACACAACCCCCTCTTGCTCTAACACTGTGTGCTCCAAGTGCCCTCCTGTGCTTCTTGTCTGTGACCGCTCTTGTACTTCCCAATGCCCTTGGCCAATCACTCTGCTTCACCTCATTCCACCCTGGGTTATCAACTGCAGGCCTGGATGCTTTCGCTGAGGAGTCACTTTATGAGTGGTCGGCCAAGGGACGGCAGCACCGGCCGCACGGTGAAGAGGATGAAGGCGGTGAAGAGGATGAAGGCGCGACCGAAGCAGCTGGTAGCATGGCCTTAAGAATCACCGTGGCACGTGGCTCATCCAGTGACGTGAAATTCGTGGTCACTGCCAGGGAGGCTGATGCAGGGCACGGGAGACACGCAGGGGAGGAGGCTGGTGGTGGCAGAAACGAGTCGCAGCACAGTCGTGAGGGGCATGAGGTGGTGCATGTTGATGAGCAATGTGAGCTTGTGCTGTCAAATGAGGATGGCACCCTCACAATTCTGGCTTGAGCAGGAACTTTTTGTAGTTGTGTGCCCACGTTAGTAGTTTAAGAAGATATTATTTAGGCTGGATTGGAGTCACGCCCATGCATTAACAAGAGGTATTTGTGAGGAGTCTCCAGCAATCTTGCCATCACACACTGATTTCAATAGCGCCATAATCTATGACAGAAACGAACTCCAATTACCAAGTGATACCGGGTATGAGGGCGTCGGCAAATCACCCTTCCCTTGGCGCACTGTGATTGTATTGATGTTGGTGTGAGTCATGCCGCCGTTTCGAGGCTCGCTTGCAATCACAGATTACCCGAGCCTAAGGCGAGCGTGATATTAAAGAAGATGACAAAGCACATGGTTCGATTCGCCCAGCCAGAGATCAAACACGGGGTCGCGCTTGGGTTCCAATAGCGCGAGAACAAGAGGGGCTTGCGTGGCCAATGAGAGCTCTTGAAGCCTTTCAAGACAGGGGCTCGCCTGCCCACCGACTCCAAAGATCACCGAGGCGCAAATGTTCATTTGCCCACGGTGGCACTTTCACGAGCTGCCTAGTCGTGAGTCTATAGCCTCGAGGCGCGAAAGCAACACCAAAGCAGCGAATCACAGGCATTGATGCCGTCCACACCGAAGCGCCAGGGGCGCTATTCTGTCCCTTGGGCGCTGCTCGGCCCCTTTTCGCCCCAAATTCAGCCCCTCCGTGCAACATTCAAATTCACCATTGTGTCATCTAATTGCCAAACACAAGTTTACCTGAGCCAAGCTCTAGGAATCAGCAAGCTTGGTTGGAGCAAATAGTCCATTTCTTGCGCCCCTCGACATCCATTGCCACCATTTGAAACTTCGCCAGCTCTTACCCGCGATTCTGTGAACGAATCATGTTGTGTTCCATGGCTCGTTTATCTGTCGGTCTTTTTGTCGCCGCCATTCTCGCATGTGCCTGCACGACAGTGAGCGGTGGCGAACGCGAAATTGAGACCCTCAACTCGGAAGTACGACTTGCGTCAGTGGCCCCACGGTACTACGACGAGCGGCTTACAGTTGCATCTGCGGACATGATCGCCCGTCGAAAGCTGAAGTGAGTATCACTTGCTCATCTAGTTGAATTGTTCCATCCCACCTCGTTTTTGCCCTGTTCATGGCTGGCTAAACTGAATGCGATTCCTTGATTGAATTTACTTGGCAGGTCGCACAAAAAGAGCAAGAAGGACAAGAGCGAGGACAAGAGCGAGGACAAGAGCGACAAGAGCAGCAAGAGCGATAAGAGCAGCAAGAAGAGCAGCAGTAAGAGCGTCAAGAGCGCCAAGAGCGTCGAGAGCAGCAAGAGCGACAAGACCAGCAAGTCAAGCAAGAGCAGCGACACGTCTAGCGGCGGGAGCGGAAAGTCCGTTAAAAACTGCAAGAAGTGCCGTTTGGGTATTGCGGAAGCGGCGGGGGCGGGAAAGCATAAGTCGGGCGTGTGGACGACGAACCCCGTGGACAAGTGCTGGTGGTCCGCGGACTGGAAGACCAACCGCCAGGAGCTCGGCAATTGCGCTCCGGGATTCGCCACAGGCACGACGGGCGGAAAGGGCGGAAAGCTGTACGTCGTGACGACGGAGGCGGACGACCCGGTGAACCCGAAGGAGGGCATGCTGCGATACGGCATCATCCAGGTGCGACGCCATGCGACGCCATTCGACGCCGTGCGTCACCTTCCTCTCATCTGATGCTTGGCCGTCAACGGTGTTGATTCGACAGCCTGATTACTGTTGCTCCGACGCCTTCTCCCGTGACTCCCTCTGAACTCCACCTCTTCCCTCTCTCTCTATTCCCTCTTCACGCCTCCTTTCCCCCGGTGCCGTGCGCGCAGGAGGAGCCGCTGTGGATCGTGTTTGAGCGCGACATGGTGTTCGACAAGCTCAAGGCGGAGATGATGATCGCCAGCGACAAGACCATCGACGCGCGCGGCCGCGCCGTCGTCATTCAGAACGGCCCGTGCGCGCGCGTGGAGCGGGCTACCAACGTGATCATCGAGTCCGTCATTTTCCGCAACTGCACCATGCGCAGGTACGCGCTTGAGTCCCAGGTCGCGCTTGAAGTATTCGCAGCGCGCACCTCACATTGTGTCCCCACGAGCGATCCACACGTACTCTCCGCCCTCGGTGCACCATGCTTCATGCTACTCGCATCACCCCCTTGCGCCTCCGCACTCCAGCGAACTCACCTTTTGCTTCCCCAACCCTTTCCCCTTGCGCTCTCCGCAGCGGCACAATTAAGGTGCGGTCCGCGAGGGGCGTGGAGGTGAAGGATTGGCGCGACGGCAACGCGGTGGAGGTGTGGGGGTCGACCAAGGTGTGGATCGACCACTGCGGGTTCGAGAAGGCGCTCGATACGCAAGTCAACATCGTCGTGGGGTCGACGAACGTGGCGGTTACCAACAACTATTTCGTGAACCAGGACGAAGTGATGCTCATGGGCAACGACGACTCGGAGACGGGAGACGACAACATGCGCGTCACCGTCGGGCTCAACGTGTTCGGCCCCAACTGCAACCAGCGCATGCCCCGGTAAGTGCCAGACCCACCCACTAAACAACACCCTGATTTCCTATATTATTTTTCTCGTTGCTTCAGCATACATCTGCCGACACGGCAAGATGTGGTGAGTGGATCCTTCTTAAGTGGCTCCTTTTTCTTTCCCCTCCGCCAACAGCGGCCGGCACGGGCAGTTCCACGTGGTCAACAACTACTATCCCAACGGCTGGGGCATCTACGCCATCGGCGGCTCCGCTAACGCGCGCTTCCGCAGCGAGGCGAATTACTTCGTGGCGGGGGACGTGAAGGAGGTGACTAAGCGGCAGGACACGCACGGGTGGGCGGCGAAGCAGATCAGCGACAAGACGTGGACTAAGATCAAGGTGTCGAGCGTGGGCTGGCAGAACTGGCCGTGGCAGTCCATCGGAGATCACTTCGAGAACGGCGCCTTCTTCACCGAGTCGGGCAAAAATGTCTTCGAGCCGCCCTACGTCTTTAATGCCGTGCCCGCTAAGGACGTTCCCGTCGCTACCAACAGGGCCGGGCCGCTGTTCCGGCGGTATCAGAAGCAGATGTGAAGTGGCGAGTTGCAGTGCGCGGGGACGGGGACAAGTGGAATAAAGCGCTGTTGCTTTGTTGAGTTGCGACGCCTAGCGGCGGGAGCCATGCTTTGGCTACGGACGAACGGAGGTCTCCGATACAGCACCAGAGAAAAGCAGTCTATAGTAGGGATGCTTCACATGCGGCGCTATCACTCGTTAGGAGGTAGTTTATGTATATGGCTTGATTGCATTGCGGTGGTAGTTTATATGGCTCGTAGGATGTTAGGCAGTTCGCTCATACCAGCTACCATAGAGCGTTGTTACTTCGTGGAACTGTGACACTTGGTAGCCAATCTAGAACCTTTGCGCATTGCTTATGTAGTGGTTTTGTCAAGCTTCATAAGATCCCTTCCATTTCTTGAGCTCTATTACAAGAGAAATGGATGTGCACAATACCAACTGTAGTTGGTTGGATTGGAAGTATGACCACATGCTCCATCATTTCATGCAAAAGCATGTGACTTTCCAACCTGAACTGACCAACTCATTTTAAGATAACAAGCAACTTTTCAATGGCGAATCTTCCTAATCACATTTCTCTACGCAACTTGCTCAGATAACAAGCAACATTTCTCTATGTCAATCTTGCACTGTCTTCTGCACCAGCATCAGCTGCACCAAATTCCCTTTCACAGCTGTAGGCTCTGCAGTGCCACCTTCGCAGCCAGTGCCGCCCGGCTCTGCTCCGCATACTGCCGAGCCAGTGCCGCCCGCTTCATGGTGTCGGTCTCCTCCATGGCTGCCAGGCGCTTCTGCAGCAGCCCATGCAGCTCCGCCGCTGACGCTCCTGTGGGGGTTGGGGGTGGGGGGAGGGAGCGAAACTGAGAGATGAGGGCCACAGGCAGAGAGATACAGTCCGTCATCACATCACTAGTCGGTCAGACAGACAGCCATGTTGGCATCAGAGGGCGGCATGAGCTGAGTGAAGACAGGCAGTGCTCGGTACAGCACAGCACAGGTGAGTGAAGACAGGCAGTGCTCGGTACAGCACAGCACAGGTGAGTGAAGACAGGCAGTGCTCGGTACAGCACAGCACAGGTGAGTGAAGACAGGCAGTGCTCGGTACAGCACAGCACGCACGGCATGGTGTGCCCATGGTATAGGGAGGCAGGGCACGGCATGGCGCGGCATGGAGTGGAACCGCATGGCGTGGCATGGGCAAGGCATGGCATGGTAGGCATGTGTTACCTGCGACTGGTTGCAGGGCAGCAAAGGTGACGAGCTCCTCATATGATGGCAGGTACTCCCGGTAGGGAGGCACCTCTGGAGCTTTCACCGAATCAGCACCTTCCAACGTCCCCCTGCCCTCCCCAACACTACCTGCCTTCTCATTCTCAGCCCCACCCTCACTCTCACTGCTGCTGCTGCTGTTGCTGCTGGAGCCACTGGAGGTGCTGCTGCGAGCAGGGTTACCAAAGTCAGGGTCGAGGGGCACAGAGGCGGGATCAACGGCCACTGTGCTCTGGATGGCCGGTGTCGGCAGCCCCTGGAAGCCCAGAAACCGGGCAGCAGACTCCAGCTGTTCGGGCGGCAACTGGTCGGGCTCCACGCCATTGTCATCGGGCAGAATGGACCATGCAGATGGCGATGCCTCTGTGCTGCCACTGCCGCTGCTGCTGCTCGTTGCATCGCCTGCATCTGCACCTGCGCTTGTGTCTGCTCCTGTGCGTAGTGCATCACCAACTGTCTGGGGCGGGGTGGCGGCGGGCTGTTGGGTTGCAGCGGTGGCGGCGGTGGCAGGGGCGCCAGGTGCTGTCGGTGCTGCTGGTGGCGCAGCAGCAGCAGAGGCGGCAGTGACGGTGTCCACCCAGCGCAGAGCCCTCTCCAGAGGCGTCTGTAGGGGCACGTCTGAGGTGGTCTGCAGGCAGGGTGGAAGGATGGAGGGCGAGGTTACGCAGTGCTTCACGCTCGCAGTGGTGCCTCATCACCGTGCATCCCTTCTAGACCATGACCTCGACTCGAATTTCCAGTCCAAGGGAACTCACTCGTCCTCACACATTCACCCTGCCATGCGCCCTACCTTGATCTTGATCTGCAGCTCCTGCACGTCCCTGAGCACCGCTCTCAACTCCTCCACAGCCCCCTTCACCTCCTCACCCGCGCCACCCGCCCCTGCCCCTTCCTGAGGGCGGTCATCAGAGACGACAGCGACCTGGCCGCGCAGGAAGGGCTCCACCTGCGTGAGCTGCTGCAGGCGGATGCGCCCCACTCCCCTCACCGCCACCAGCGCTCCCACCTGCAGCTTGCGCACCTGTGAAGGGGAGGGCGGAATGGGGACGGGGGAGGGTGGGGAAAGGGCGGAAGAAGGACATGGTTAGAAAGGAGGTGCTGTGGGGGACGATGAGCAGGAGGGGGAGCAGAGAAGGCAGACGCAAGAGAGTGGAGGCAGGAGGTGGAAAGGAGGTGGCGAGAGGCGTAGGCGGGCGGCGGGAGGGGAGGGAGCGCACGCTTTCAACGTAGGAGAGGCAGCCGTAGGAGGCGACGAAGGTCATGCCCTGGCCGTCCTCTGTCCGCATGGGCTCCAACACCACGTGCCCCAGCAGCCCACTGCTGCGTGTCAGCACCTGCATCGGGTGTGCACGGGATGCATGGGGTGCATGGGGTGTGCATGGGGTGCATGGGGTGTGCATGGGGTGCATGGGGTGTGCATGGGGTGTGAATGGGGTGCATGGGGTGTGCACGGGATGCATGGGGTGCATGGGGTGCATGGGGTGTGCATGGGGTGCATGGGGTGCATGGGGTGTGAATGGGGTGCATGGGGTGTGCACGGGATGCATGGGGTGCATGGGGTGCATGGGGTGTGCATGGGGTGCATGGGGTGCATGGGGTGTGAATGGGGTGCATGGGGTGTGCATGGGGTGCATGGGGTGTGCATGGGGTGCATGGGATGCATGGGGTGCATGGGGTGCATGGGGTGTGCATGGGGTGCATGGGGTGTGCATGGGGTGCATGGGGTGTGCATGGGGTGCATGGGGTGTGCATGGGGCGCATGGGGTGTGTAGGGTGTGTGGGGTGCATGGGGTGCACGGGGTGCACAGGGTGCATGGGGTGCATGGGATGCAGGTAACATGGTTGAGCAAAGGACTGGAAAGATGATATGATACGATGCTCTGTTTTGCTGGGAGAGATGGCTGGGTACTATATGAGCTCTCCAAAGGACTGTTCGCTAGTGCACTGCCCGTTACAGGCACGCATATCCAATGGCATTCCCCACATACACCCAGCGCACGGCCCTTCCCATGTGCCCCCTCCGGAGCACTCCCCAGTGCAGGTGCGCCCGGTGCAGTGTTCCCCGCGGCAGGGGCGACGCACCTCCTCGAGCAGCGCGAGGTAGCGCGCCTCGTACAGATGCAGTGTCTTGGATGACCCGGGCAGGAACACCTGCCGCCATACGTGCACACGCGCAGGGGACGCATAGGAAACGGACAATGTGGGTCACTGGTGGAGCTCTGCAGGGTCACGAATGGACGAGCCAGTTGATACCGCCATTGTGCAATGTGCCTGAGCTCTGCAATGTGCCTGAGCTCTGCAATGTGCCTGAGCTCTGCAATGTGCCTGAGCTCTGCAATGTGCCTGAGCTCTGCAATGTGCCTGAGCTCTGCAATGTGCCTGAGCTCTGCAATGTGCCTGAGCTCTGCAATGTGCCTGAGCTCTGCAATGTGCCTGAGCTCTGCAATGTGCCTGAGCTCTGCAATGTGCCTGAGCTCTGCAATGTGCCTGAGCTCTGCAATGTGCCTGAGCTCTGCAATGTGCCTGAGCTCTGCAATGTGCCTGAGCTCTGCAATGTGACCTGTGCAAGAACCACATTTCCTTGACTTGCACATTGGCCCTCTTCATTCCCCCGTTCGACCCCCTTGGCTCTCCCCTTGACCCTGCTGACTCGCCTGTTGACTTGCTTGACTCACCTCGGCGGGGTTGAAAGGCAAGCACGGCAGCTCCATCACAATCCCCTCCTCGCTGCTGGCGGCGCCACCGTCTCTGCTGCCTGCATGCGCACATGTGGCAAGGCGGGGCGATGCGACACCGAAGAGTGGAAACAGAGACACGATCGCAGGGTGTGAGAACGATACATTGACTCATGGCTGGCCGGAACGAGAAATGGTCGGAGGGAGGCGAAAAAGCCAGCGCACGGAGAGTAAGGAGATCCGGGAGTGAGGTGAATGGAGCGACGTCACGTGAAAGGAATGCGAGCAGGAAGCACCTTACTCGGCTTAACGGAGAATTCGCTATCGCGTTGGTCGGCGGCCATCACGGAGACTCGTCGGACTCGTCGGAATCGACCTGGCTGCTGCAGACGTGTCAACCGATGCATTGGCAATTGTGAAAGTGAGGAGAAGGGAGCGCAGCGTTGAAGCAATGCGCCGGGAGAAGAGAGCCGAGAGAGCGCGGCTTGCGGCGACGGTATCCGGCGTCTGTCCTGAAAGGAACCCGCGAGAGAACCACCATGTTGTCGGCTTCTAGACACTGACGCGGCTGGCGACAGGCACGAGCGTGTGTGGACGCTGCTGCAGCGAATGAGATCCATGGCGATCGCGATCGCAACGGCCTTCTCTTCCGCGTGCCACGCAAATGACGCTTTCTGAAAGGATCAGCAAATAGACAATATTAAACCGAGCAGACAGTGATGCAAAGGAGGACGCTATTGTGGTGCATGCACGCTAGTGAGAACTACAGGAGATCACAGAGAATAACCAGCCGTGCAGGCGAGAGGCAGAAAATGAATTTCAGAAGGGGCTGGGGAGGAAACAGGTTTGCCTGACTGGCTTTGACTGCTGAATGCAGTTTTGGCGGGAAAGGGGAAGTTGCTCTCGTGGCTGCTTCTGGATGAAACGTGATTCACGCTGATTGGCTGCACGAGAAATAGCGTTCGTGTATCCTCGTCATAATAAATGGACGGAGCAACTCGATTCAAATAACAATAATCTTAACTCTGCTCAAGCCTAGATTTGCAAGTTGCATCTTGCCAGCACTAGTAAAAAAACCAAATACGTGATAACTACAGCTCATCCTTCCTCTCATCATCATCCTCCTCCTCATCCTCAGCATTGGCAATCTCCTCCGCCTCGGCCAGTTCCTCCGCGGTCGGAGGAGCAGAAGCGGCTTTCTTGGCTCCCTTGTGCTTCCGGACGAAGGCGAGGAGGCTGGCCTTGGAGTTGTCGCCAGCATAGGGCACGGCAACACCAGCGGATGTGTAGAGGTAGATGGTTGGCAGCGCCTTCACATCGAACTTATCCGATGGAATGTCATTGGCGGAGAAATCCTGCACACATGGGGCATGCCGGACATGCAGAGAAGGCGGCACACTTTGACATCATGCCACTGGGATGCAAAGCTATGCCAACCCAGACGCATCTTGTGCATGCCAAATTATCTCATCCCATCATGCATGCGGACCAAATGTCTTTCCCAAACATCTGCATGCATGCAAACAGCCAATCGCCATCATAGCACCCTCATTGCATGCAAGCACACCATGCGACCCACTGACCATCTTGGCGACAACAACGTCCCTCTGACCGGAGAGGCTCTCTGCCACGTCCTTGAGCACGGGGTCCAGGTCAGCACAGGCTGTGCACCAGGGGGCGTGGAACTCCACCAGCACTGATGTTGGGATGATGGAGGGGAGAAAGGGGTCCGAGGGAAAAAGGTGAGGGAGAGGAGAAGGGGTGTCTCTGCCACGTCCTTGGGCAACGGGGTCCTAACGCTGGTTCGCTGGGCGGGGAGGAGTGGAAGCAGTCACGGGAGGAGAAACTGCAAGACAGGGTGTGCAGACGTGCATGCACGCACATGCGAGACAACACAATCGAAGTCGGACAGGCTCTAGATGTGAATGGAACAGTGGCAGCAAGGCAAAGAACCCAGAACAAACAGCACACGTGCAGCAGCATGGCAGCGAGAGCACGAGCGCATGGGCACGGAGGCGTGAGGAAGGCGGCACCATTCTTGCGGGAGTTGAGCACGATCTCCTTGAAGCTGTTGGCCACGACCTTCTTCACCGCCCCCGCGTCCCCCTGCGGCACCGCCTCACTCTTCAGCACCCTCTCCGCCCTCCCCGCCTGCTCCCAAAGGAGCCAGGGAGGGGTGAAGGGGAGCGCCGGGATAAGGTGGGTTGGAGGAAGGTGGAGGCACAGGTGGCATAGAAAATACAGAGGTTGTGGTATAGGAAAAGATAAGGAGGCAGAAGTGGGGGAGGGCAGCCGTATGAAAAGCGGATCTAAAAGAAAACAGGCTCAATGGAAAATGGAGCAGAGCAAGGGGGACCTGAGGGAGGGTAGCACTAGGAGAGGGCGCACCTGGAAGTCGGCAAGGAAGGGGGCGATGTCAGAAGGAGCGATGTGCGTGCGGATGAACTTGGCATCGTAGCGCGGGTCGTGAATCACCATGGCTGGCGTGTCACTCACTGCCAGCCCAAAGTACTGCCGGGAAGCACATGGGGCCGAGGGGTTTGGGGGCAGTGTACGGGAAGGGCTTCATTGGAAAGAGTCGTGGGGAATATTACGGGAAGTTGCTAGCTGCGAGCTGAGAGAAAAAATTATCACTTAAAATATACTTGTTGGAACCAACCCGTGTGTGCCAGTGTGGGTTTGGTGTGAGGGATTGAGGCCATGGCAGTCCCTCCCTTCCCCCCTTGCCCGCACCTTGAGAGCATGCTCGTTGGCAGCAGCCTCCCCGATAACGAGGCGGATGGAGTCGGGCTGCTCCTGTGCCGCCTCCACGTACCGGCTGCGGAACTCTGGTGCATCCGGCAGGCTGTATGTCAGGAATAGCAGCGACTGCAGGGGTGGGAGGGAGGGACGTGGGGAGATGGAGAGGTGGGGAGGGAGGGCCGCAGGCGAGGGATGGTGATGCAGTGCCTGCAGGGCTCAACTTCTCAGTTGGTGAAGGCATTTTGCACAAGAGCAGCGACTGCACGATGGTAGCACGAGCGCACAACGACTTCCGTATATAGTTGTGGTGCAGGGAGAGAGGGCGAGCAGCCGAGGGGGAAGCATGGGTGAGCCACAGGCAAAAGAAGCAGAAGCAGCAGCAACAACAGCTAGAGAGAAGGAAGGCCAGAGGGGTGAGGAAGGAAAGAGGCAGATGGCAGACCTTGTTGGTGGGCGCCTGGAAGACGCGGGCGAGGTAGGGGCGGTCCTTGGGGTCCTGGCTGAACTCCACCACGCGCGGCACCGCCTGCCGCTCTATGAACGCCCTCAGCGCTGCCGGTGAGAACTCCTGCTCACCAACGGGGAGGGCAGGGGGGCAGGGAGAATCAGGGGGACAGGGGCCAGGGGTGTTCATACCCACGTCACGTGCGTGTCGGTTACCCTTCCTGCTCCAACACCTTGGGCAGGCGCGCAGCTGAAAGGGAGGGGGAGGGAGGGGTGGAGGGCCACGTGGGGATCCAGTGACTCACGAGCCCTGGCCAGTGGCATGGAGGACAGCTGTGCTGCGCATGCCCTATCCACTGCAGCAGCGAGCTCACCTTTGCATCAGAGAAGCTACAATGGACGTTGCAGCAGCGGGATGTGGAGGGGCAGGGGCACCCCTCATCAAACTGCTTCAGCAGGCGCACGGCAGGTGCCTCCAGCTGAGTCCCCTTGGATCCTGCAGCGCCATGTGATAGAAGATATGGTTCAATACGTCTCAAGGCTCACCTCTGTGTCGGAGTACCCCTCATCGAACTGCTTCAGCAGGCGCACGGCGGGTGCCTCGAGCTGGGGCCCCTTGGCGGGCAGCAGCGAGGCGTCGGTGGTGTGCTTGAAGACAAAGTCCGTTCGCAGCTCCCTTGCCACTGACAGGAACGACTCAAACTCGGGCGATGAGAGCGTTGCAAACAGCCCCACCTGGCGTGCAGGAGGGGGGGAAAAGGGGTGGATGCAGATGGCGTAGGAGAAATGAGGGGTTGGAAGGGGAGGAAGGGGTGGAATGAAGGGCGGAGGATAAGGGCCAGGCCAGGGAGATGGTTGGCAGGGGAATGGCGGCATGGAGAGGTTAGGTTGAGCAGGGTGGAAACAAGAGGTGCAGGAACAAGCAGGGTACGGGGAGAGAGAAGGGGGCACACAGGGCAGTGGCAGCGACTCACCACAACGACGCTGTCGTCCTCCATGGCGCGCTTGAGGTCCGACCCCGACCGCACCTTGGTGCTGGCGGGCCCCGCCTGCTTCTTCAGATACGCCACCAGCCCTGCTGCTTCCCTCGGACCCTTGTACGTCAGCGGCGATGCATAGTCCCTGGTGGGGGGGGGGGAGGGAGAGGGGGTGGGGGGATGGGGAGAGGCGGGTTGGAGAGAGGTGGGGAGTGGGAAAGTGTTTTTTGAAACACGTCAACAGCGTGTCCGGGAGGGTGGGGCGTGGGGGGAGGAGACGGAGGGAGGGATAAAGAAGCGGGAGGAGGGAGAAATGGATGGAGACTATGAGCAACTCACAGTCGTGCATATGCGTGAAATACTCATTAGAAAAAGCATTGTATCACAGCAGGCGCCATATACACAGGAGCAAGCGACTCACGTGCGGAAGATCTTGATGGTGGGGAAGCCCCCCACGCCGTACTTCCTGGCGAGGCCCTTGTGCTTCTTCTCATCGCCGTTGATGCGCGCCAGCACTATCTCCGACCCCTCCTCTGCCAACATCTCTGCCGCCTTGACATACTGCCCAGCACGGCACATAGGGAATGTCGAGCACATGCCACGTGGCACAATGTGACGCGTGCAGGCGGCCAGTTTTGTGCAATGGGATGACAGGAGTGCGGCTTATGGTGTGTCAAGGTGCAAGCACGGTGGAGCGCGGTATGCATTGGAGCTAGCTGCACTGAACGCGGAAAGCTGTTAAGCGCCATTGTCGTGACACTGTTGTAGCCTTCCTTCAGTCGCTCTCCTACCACCCAACCTCTTCCTTCTCTCCGTCATTGTCTCGCAATCTCCCTCCTATCCCGTCTCCACATCTCCCTCGCGCGCTTACCTCTGGCTCTAGTCGTTTGCAGTGACCGCACCTGACGACGCAAGAAGGCGAGGCGGTGGGGAACGAGGGTAAGGAAGGGGAATGGGGGTCACGGCGTGGGGAATGGTGAAATGTTTGGCGAGGAGGGTCGAGGTCGATTCAACGGGGAGAAACGAAAGATGCGTTGGGGATGAATGAGAGCAGCGCAGCGATGCAGTTGGAGCACAATGTTGCGACGATATTCGGGTGACATATGGAACTGGCAGAGTATGCGAGTGCCATTACGAAATGCAATGCCGGAAAGATGTGCCACCGCGTGGACAAGGAACGCGAGCGCGATCGAGCATCGGGAGAGAGGGACCGCGCGTACCAGGGAGCGTAGAACATAACGGCGATAAAGTCGTGACTCTTAACCTCCGACTCGAAATTCGTGAAGTCGAGCGTCAGCACCTTGCCATCATCATCCGCTGCAACGCACGACAGGCTGACTACGGCTAGGACCGCGAGCAACGCCAGCGCAGCGCGCGTGCCAGCCATGGTGAGAAATGCTGCCTACAACCTTGTCTAAGAGACAAACCTTAGCACCAGAGGAGGAACCTAAGCACATTACCAAGGCGAGACTAGCAAATTTGTGCAGTCCAGTCAAGACAGATTGGTATTTCCGACAGTGGTAATTTGGTCGAGGTGGGGTGGGAAAGATAACTTGATCATCTCAAGGTCACTGGCGAGAGTCGCGTAGATGAAACAATTGCGGACTACATGTTTGTTGTACTGGCTAAGCTTACAATAACGTGGCTACGTGGCTACTAAAAATAACCATACACATATACAAAACCACTACAATAGCCTACAGCTAGTGGATATGCTACAGCAACCCTCCACGAAATCCCTTGGCCCAAACCTGAGCCAGGATGAAGGCAACTAGCCACAACAACCCTAGACATGTAGCATGAACCTGCATTTGTAGAATATTTTTTGGTAAAATCACATAGAAATGTGTGATTGTTCCTTTTACGAGGACTGAAGGGCCTGCTGCAGGACAGCTTGCTGCTCCGGGGGCAGAGCACCCACGATCTCCGCAGGTAGGCTCCGCAGCAGCGTCACGGCTCGCTTGTTCGTCTCCTCTGTTGCCAAATCCGTGCCAGCCTTGAGCACCTGGAGGAAACAGATCAAGAGGCATGAGGTACTCCGTTCAGAAACCATCGTATTTGAGGTTATGAAAGTACGGCATGTGTGGCAAACACCAGCATGGGCACAACAGATCAGCGGCGACATGGCAGTGAGTGCATACGTATTCAGAAGCCACGTTGTGCAGGCACATACCTCTAGCAGCACTCCGACAATGTGGGGCAGGTTCTGGTTGTTGGGGCCCAAAATACGAGTGTCCGACCTGACCAGTGGAGGGAACGGAGTGGAAGGGAAGATCGGGGGGGAAGAAAGCAGGGTGTCAGACAAAGAAGGGGGGAAGTCAGGAAAAACAAAAATAGCACGTAGTCTTTATCATGGATTTTGGGTGGCAGAGGGAGCGCATGCATGGGCAGCAACACACCTTTCCAGCAGGCCGCAGAGCTGGGCGTGTGCAACCTTGGCCTCGGCACGGTCCTCGCGGATGGGCAGGTAGGCGAGCCACACGGACAGCACGTGCGCGGAGTCAAAGGGTGCGTGCGCCTGGTGCTCACACAGCCGCCCCAAGGCTGATATCGCGTTGTCCGTTGCTGACACGCTCAGCTCGCTCTTGCTGTCCCCACTGCTCACCACCTGCCCCAGCCGTGCCACCGTGTCTGCACGTGTGCATGGCAGACAGCGGAGGAGATGTGATGGGGTGCACACCAAGAGGTAAAGAGAAGATGATGCATTAATAAGGGTGCTTCAACCAGCAGGGCATGCGGATAACTGGGGCCAAGGGAGTGGAGGTGGAGGAATGGAGAGTGCGAACGCGGGAAGCAAAGAGCCGTTAGCAGGAGGGAGGGGGAGGGAGAGGGAGCGCACCTGGCACATATGGAGTGAAGGCAGCGCCACCATGTTGTGCGCAGATGCCGATGCCATATGCTGCTGACTGCACACACACACACGGGTGCAGGAGGGGCAGGAGAGCGTGTGAGGGCGTGGAACAGCACGAGGAAACACAACGCAGCAACAGCAAAAAATGGTGAGCGTCCTCCAGCTGGGAGGGGCGGGCGTTACCTGTCGGATCTCGGGCAAGGGGTCGAGCACGGCCTCCAGGATGTGCGGCAGGAAGGCCGGGAAGTAGCTGGTGGGGGGCGAGAGGGCGAGGGGATAAGCAGGGAGTGATAGATGGTATAAGGAAAGGGAATCGTGCCACACATAGCACACCACAGGGAAGGTGGCACAAATAGCACATACACGCCACAGGGCCTGGCAACGTGGCAGAGCATGGGATGGGAACAACAGGGAGGACAAGCGAAGGGGCAGCACCTGGCAGCAGCATCGCCCATGTTCTCCGCCAGGTCGTCAAAGATACAGATGCCCACCCTCCTCTCCGTGGCCGGCCGACTCTTGTCCTGCACTCGTGGAGGAGGAAAGGGCGGGCGGAGGAGCAGAGCCGAATGCAGTGTTGAGCTTGTTCTGCTAGAAAAAGAGAGCATTTGAGCTAGAATGAATGGGAGCATGAAGTTAGATGAGAGCAGATAGGTGTTTGCAATGTTTGCCCCAAGGTTTGGAGAGGCAGCACTGACCATCATTTGAAGCACGAAGGGAGCGAGGTCGTCGGCGAATGGCTTGAAGCTGCCCTTGAACACCCTCGCCAGCTCTCCTATGCAGTCTCCCACCTGCCACACGGCAGACAGCAGCACAGTAACGCAGATATCATCAGGTGCTCCATCGGATCTTGGTTGATCCACGACAATTACTTGAGGGACAATGTCAGTCCTTCTCCACCCATCTTCGCCACTTATCACCCTCCCCCCCTTTACGAATTCGACTCCCTTAGTTCCCTCCGATCCCTCTCTGGACTGTGCACGTTAGCCCCTGAGCCCCACCTTCTCTTCCCCCATTGGGCCTTGTGCCAACTGAACTGCCCTCCTTGTCCTCTTCTCTTCTCCATCAGATCCCCATTCACATGCACTCCACTCCCTGCCTCTTGCATTCAAACCCCATCTCATTGACTCCTCCTCTCACCCCCCCCCTTTCCCAGTGATATCCCGTCCCACACCCTCCTCACCACGCCCAGCAGCACCACAGCAACGACTGAGGGATCTGGTCGAGCACATCGTCCTCCTGCTCGCTCTCCTCCTCTGTCTGCATGCGCTCCAGCTGCTCCCTCTTCCCCCCCTGCCCCTCTCCCTTCTGTATCCCTTCCCCTTCTGCCATCCACAGCACCGCGACAAGAGAACGCACCTGATCAAGCACCTCGTCTTCCTGTTCGTTCTCCTCCTGCAGCAGCTCGCTCTCCTCCTCATCAAAGTCCTCTGTCTGGGTGCGCTCCAGCCGCTCCTTGCGCCGCCCCCGGCTGCCCTCCACCACGGCCTTCAGCTGCGCCACCACCTGCGTCACCTGCTCCGCACTCAGCTCCACCCCCTCCCAACTGGAGTGACGAGAGAACAGGAGAGGAGAAGAAGAAAGGAGAACAAGGGGAGAGGGGGGAGGAGGAGGGCAAGGCGGGGAAGAGAGAAGAGGGGATTGGGTTAGCTGGGTGGAGAAACAAGCAGTATGCCAACCAGTATTTGTGACCGCATGCCTGATGCTGGAAACACATGAAACCATGTTGAAAACGCCTGATTCCATGCCCGAAACCCCTGAGTTCATGATAAATTCTCGATTTCAAGTTTGAAAATGTCTTAACTCGTGTTGAAAACTCCTGGACTCGTGCTAGAAAAACCTGGATCTTATGTTAGGGAAGTCCTGGGCTCACCTGAATGCATTCTTGCAGAGACTCGAGCATGACCACTATCATCTCCACCTCTGGCTCCTGGCAGTTGGGGGGGGGGGGGGGGGAGTGCAGAGGCATGGAGCAAGAAGCAGGGGGTGTGAACAACATGATGAGAAGAGGATAATTCTGTCCACATCGCGCCATGTTTGGTAGATGGCGGAAGCTCCTGCTTCAACCAAGCTGATTCTGTACAGATAGCAAGCACCCACCGAGGTGAGCACCCACCGAGGTGAGCACCCACCGAGGTGAGCACCCACCGACGTGAGCACCCACCGAGGTGAGCACCCACCGACGTGAGCACCCACCGAGGTGAGCACCCACCGAGGTGAGCACCCACCAAGGTGAGCACCCACCGAGGTGAGCACCCCCACCAGGCATCACCCCCACCAGGCATCACCCCCACCAGGCATCACCCACCTTGGTAAGAACCTCCACAAGAGGAGGCACAAGGAAGTCGACCATCTGCTTGAGGTAGCGCTTCTCTCCCTCCGCTGTCGCCGTCACCGCTGGCGCCATGCCCTTCTCCACCGCCAGCTTGCCGTCCAGCAGCAAGCTCCGGGATGGCTGTGCACGTGGGAAAGAAGAGGGGAGGGGAAGGGTGGTGTGAGGTGCGGGGAGAGGGGGGGCATGCAATGTGCCACGCCCTTCTCCACCGCCAGCTTGCCATCCAGCAGCAGCAGAGGCGTGGAGAGGTGTGGGGAGAGGTGTGGGGAGGGGTATGCGGATGTGGGGGGAGCGGTGGGGAGAGGCTGGACTCAACCCATGGGATCGAGCACAGAGGATGGTGCAAGGGGACCGGAGGAGGCGCGGGGGCGGAGGGGGCTTACACTGGCGGCGGCCTTGCGGACCTCCTCGTGGAAGTAGAACTTGAGCAGCGGCACCATCAGCTGCGCCACCTGTGGTGAAGCACAGCACCACATTGCACGGCCACAGGGGCGTCGAGGTACATGAGCACGCGCACAGGCACACACACGCACACATAAGGGAGGGAAGGGGGTGGGCGAATGAGCTAAATGTGATGCACGTGGTGTGGGAGACTGAAAGGGGTTGAGTTGGTGGAAGATGATGGATTTTGCAATTCAACTCTTGAAGATGATGGATTTTGCAATTCAACTCTTCAATTCAACTCTTGAAGATGATGGATTTTGCAATTCAACGATTCAATTCAACTCTTGAAGATGATGGATTTTGCTCGTGCATGGAGTGCGTTCACCTCTTCAATTCATTTGTTTCGTCAACGAGGCTGCCACCCTTCCCTCCCCCATCCCCTTTGCCCGTACCTGGTCGATCCAGGGGAAGAAGCCCTCCTTGAGCTCGTCGGCGTAGCAGCAGAGCATGTTGCACGCCGTGGCCTTCTCCTCCAGCATGCTCGTGCGGATGCCGATCTTCTTGTCGCCTATCGTTATCGTCTCCACACTGGCGCGAGGCGACAGGGAGTGCATGTGCGGGTGAATGTGGGTGCGACGGGGAGGGGGTTGTGAGAGATGGTGAGGGCATGCTCGTGCAAGTGCCAATCTTCTTGTCACCTATCATTAGCGTCTCCACGCTGCCGTGGGGAACAGGATGTGAGAGGGCATGTGGGCTCACATGGGAAGAGGGTAGAAAGATCTGAGGGCACGCGAACAGAATACACAATAAATTAACAACAGGCATGGCACGACACACACCACGCTCTCCCCCTGACACACACAGCACCCAGACACACAGTTCACCACACACCAGGCACCCACCCACCTGTCGTCATCGTCATTGGCAGTGTCGTCATCGATATCGGAGATGGTGACATCGGGCTTGAGCGAGGCGAAATGGCTTGTGAGCCCACTCAAACATTACCACACCATAAAACCAGCCACACGCCAAGCACCCACCTGTCGTCGTCTTCATCATCGTTGGCCGTGTCGTCATCAATGTCGGAGATGGTGACGTCGGGCTTGAGCGAGGCGGAGTGCAGCAGCGGCGGCATCACCACGTGCATGAACGGCAGGAACTCCGCGCCCAGACACTTGCACAGCCGCGCCCACGCCTGCACGCGCGCGGGAGAGGGGGTGGGGAAGGATGTTGGGGGGAGGGAGTACAGAGGGGGAAGGTGGATGTGGGGAAAGCGTGAGAGGGTTGGGGCAGCAGGTAGCGAGGGAGAATTGGGAGGTGAAGTAGGGACTTGAGTGAGTCAGAGTGCAGCAGCAGCGGCATGACCATGTGCAAAGTCTTGTGAGACGAGTCAAAGGTCTTTTGAGACATGTCCGACGTCGTTTGAGACGTCTCAAATCAAATGCATGTTCTCACAGTGACGTCTTACCTGCAGGCATGTAGCTCATGGTGAGGTCGTCGT